ATAAGGTCCAGCTCTGGAGATAATATGGTCACCACCTCTTCTGAAAAATGAACTCGCCGTTTCTCCTCAACTCGTCTCTGATCCACAAAGATGAATGGAGAATTGAAAAAATTACAAAGAGAAGAACATTTCGATTTTAAATTCTTAATTGCTAACTTTTATCTGTCTTGAATTTTCAATTTGATTTGATCATGGTAATTTACTGGAGTAGAATTCTACAATAATTTGAATGATCTTTGCAATTGTCAATAAATAAACAAATTTGACCACTAACTTTGTAAGGTCAGCTTTTTTCATCGATATCCCATTTTTAAGCTCAGACAATCCCAAGAACAACTAAATAAATCAGTTGCTTATAGTCTGCATATTGACTGGGCTTGTCTACATAGTCCTTTTATTTCCCCTATGATTTTTTTCAAAATTCTCTTTTCACACTGAATTCACAATGAAAAATCAAGAAGTTAACAACTGTCTATGTCTGAGTCTGTGTTTAAGTAAATATATTAGCATCAATTCATGTTTGATAGTTGTCTGCAAAGTGGGGATTGTGTACATGACATATTTGCAATCTTACACCACAGGGAGGTGCTGTGATACACAACATCTTACCCTCTTTGAGAGTGTTTCCATTGAGGATTCTGAATCTTGGGACATGGTGTGTTTGAGGACACCCCGGGGTGCTGGAGCAAAATGGTTTGACAGAGGGGTTGGAGCGTACAGTGTCTGGCCCGATTCATCCATCATGTGGCAGCTGCTTGTGGAGCCTGCAGTGAAAAGTGAGGCAAACACCTGATTATTTATGAAGAACAGCTTCAACAAATTCAGCTCACTTGCCCGAATTTATAAATACAAAATATCGATCTTAAAAATCCTTGGAAAGAGAATAAAATCCGACCCTTTCTAATGATCGTAACTTATAGAGTTGTTCTCACCTCCATCTGCTTCCTGTCCATCTCTGATCTGAAGCTTCACAGCTGACCGATGCTGCCTCTTTCTACTGATCTGGACACTGGTTTTGATCGGTGAGTTGTGCAGATTATCTGCTAACTTCACATAAAAAGAAAAAAAAAGTTTCAAGCTGATGACAGTTAATTCAGGTTGTAAACTTCAGTCATGATGGAAATATGAAAATTTCACCTGGGCAAACGAAGGTCTAGGTTGCAGTCCCAAGCCTCTCTCTGAGAACTGCATGTCTGATTGGTTGTGACCGTCTTCCATTGGTTCTGATTGGTCAGAATTTTGATTAACCCACTGTGGTTTTTCTTTTGAAACCCCCATGCCTGCAGATGTAAAAGCTGCAGGTGAGGGTTGTGCCGCGCTGAAGGCTGCAGCTGGGGAAGACTCTGTACTCCTGAAGCTCCACTGGTTGCTTCCACCTCCAAATTGTTTAGGATCTGGCTGGTTCAGCCGGTCCTCTGATGTTTTTGACTTTGTTGGGGTTGCTGAAAGGTTAGGGTTGATGAACTTGGCCCATTCTTGGCCCCTTACAATCTCATCCAAAAGACTGAACGATCCAAGGCCAATATCAAAGTCACTGGTGCATCTGAAACACGACATAACCTACATTTTACACATATGACTCAAAACAACAAATTCATGAATAGACCAATTGTTTCTTAATGTTAAAAGAATCCTTAAGTATCAATATGAAGATGTGCAGTGTATTCCTATTGATAAAGTTGGGTAAATTTGATTTATGTAGCACATTTACAAAAAAGCAAGGTTATGTCCTTCACTTAGCATAAATACAAGAATTAAACAACTGTGTCATAAGACTAACAGAAGATAGCATTTGATTTCACGTGTTTATTATTGAAATTAAATGTATTTGGATGACAGTGTCAGCTAAATTGGTAACTTAAAAAATTTGCGGTTGCCTATCATCAATTTATAACCAGAATAATGCCTTTATTTACAGGACGCCTGCTCTGTCTTTGGACATGTATGAGCACCTTTTCTCTGTTTGATACTATTGCCTTGTATAACATGCAATAAAAACGTTGCGGCCATCATAAAAGTGTGACAACTGCTGCTAGTGACAGTCATACTTTGGCACATCAACAAGAAAAACAGTATGCCTGAAGCGGTTTCACTGCTAGGGCTCGAAATGCTTTACATATCTTTAATTCTTTTATGGTGATGTGTTTGGGAACACATTTTAGAAATGTGTTAATGAACTAAAATATTTGCAGGGCAGCTGTTACCTGAAACTGCTGTCAACATTGTCCTTTGTTTGTAGATGACCCATTAAGCCGGGGCCACTGCTGTCTAGTAAAGCAGAGCTTCTTTCTCTATCTTCATTTGATGTGTTCATGAGATTATCTGTCATCAATTGCTGGTTGGGGTTTAAAACCTGTTCGACAAACAAATTGCCATTTTACTTTCAGACATTTGCTCATCACATCGATTAGAAAACAAATAAAACATTACTCACTTGAGTTTCCTTCTCAGTCCCAGGATTAACTGTCCCTCCCTCCTCTTTTCCCTTTTTGGCAAAAGTCACATGCTTGTCCTTCCACCTTTCTTTGATCCTTTGCGTCCATCTTCTTGTTTTGTTTTCAGATGATCGCTGCTTTCTCATGCTAATCGTTGGGTTTTGGCTTCTCAAGATATCATTAGTCGGTCCAAAACCTCCAGCTTCTCCATTTCCCATGTTCAACATTTTATTCACTTGGCCTGCTGAGTCAGCGTCTATGCTCTTTGTGGACCATGTGTAAACTTTGGGCGTAAACTCCTGGACATGGTTCTGGTTTGTTCCAACGTTTGAAACAATATCTGTATCAGCAGGAATGTGTCTCTTCATTGCAAAGCTGCCAAAAGCCACCCTCTCCCCTTTAGTTCTCTCATCGGAAGGGAAATCAGCATCCTTAGGTGATTGAGCAGGAAACAGCTGCGTTGTTGCTGCTGGGATGACCCCCGGTTGAGTGAGCTGTCCCAACACCCTGTTGGGACAGGTCCCACTCTCTTCCCTGTTGCCATCTATCTTAACTTTCTGGAATGGGAAGGAAGTTGGACTTCTACCCAGTTCAGAGCTAAAAGGCTTTTCTTCATTGGGTCTAATAACAAAATTACTGTCCACTGTGGTGATCCTGAACTCTTTTGAGGGTACACCATTAGCACCAAACACATTAAAAGAACTGTTGTTTACTTCTTGGTAGTTGGATGATTGGTTCCCTCCCTCTTGCCACAGTGTAGAAGCAGTATTTGCAGGCGTTTGCAGGTACGCTTGGCCCTCTCTTCCCTGCTGGAGTTTCAGTCTCTGCAGCATGGACTGGAGCAAGGCCTGCGTGTCTGTCGAGTGATGTGACTGAGACATCTAGGAACAAAACTGCCACAGATCAAATCCAGATGTCACAGAAACATATATGAACAACAGCAGTGGATCCTGCTAAACAGGGATGGTTCCACACTGTTGTGATTTAATAAAATGGGTGGAGAAATTTAGCTCACCATTTGTCCTAATTTTGCTTAAAAACTCATTTGATTCCTCCTCTCTTCTTTTTGGATGTTCCAGTCTTTTTCCATCATGCTAACGTCCCATTTGGCAAATTTCAATCCAGGTGTTCTTAGAGATTATTTAGCTGCTACTCCCTCTCAGATATTTTGATCTCCCCTTGTTTCCGCTTATAATCCTCAAGTTGTTCAGCACAGTGAGCAAAATCCAAAACAGTTCCAGTCTTGTGTCTTCTTATATCCTTAAAAAGTCTCTTCCTGCATGTCCGTAGTTTCAACACACAAAGGTTGGTTTGGTCACACCTTTTCTTAAGCCGCCACTCATACCAGTAGAGATGGGAGGAGAAGCAGTTTAGGCAGCGTTCTTCAGATCTTACACGCTGAAGCAAATCAACAAGAAAAACCAGTGAGGTAAGATCATTTTGCTTTGACAGTGACTCTCCCTCTATCTCTTGCGATTCGCCCTTCCTTCCTATTTCTGTTTTGCTCCAGCCCATGTGCAAACACACCCTCTTTCCTTCCACTGTAGCCCTTAACTGGTAACTATTCAATACCTTACATTATTTAAATTGTTTTATTGTTCAGCTATTATTTAGCTTTTTTTTCTAATTAAAACAATGTTCATAAATAACTCTCTGAATTGGATTACTTGTTATAATATTTCAAGTTTAGATGTCAACTACCTATAACTACTGATGTTTTAATTCAGTGTCAAGTCCTAAACTGAAGATGTATACTTTATTTATACTTTTGCTTACATTTTCAAATAACTGAGTTTTTTCATTTACACACGACGTTTTTATACGATTGTGATCCAATCAATAGAATTTAAATCAAACAATTCCAACATCAAACAATTCCAACGAGCCTATAAAAAAGATGAGAATAATCATCAACTGACGCTATTTTGTGGTCAATTCTCTCATCACTGTTCTGGCAGACTCTGAAATCAAATTTCCCAATTAAAAATAATAAGAAAAACGGTCAAGAGAAAGCTTAGCAAGATAATTTTATTGTATTTAATAAAATTACTCAGAACATGTATGTATTACCCCACGTTATTAATATATTATGGCAACATTTGACTGCGCGTGCGCCTTTCAAATTCCCCAAGCGTGTTATTTCCTGTCTCTGTGATTGGTCTACATCACGGAAGTGGTTATGGCGGCGTAAACAACGCGAGGTTCGGTTTAATTATCGCTCAGTTTTCGCATTTTTATAAATTCAGATAGAGCAACAGATAGTGATGTTTTCCCTTAGAGTGTTTGTGTTCCGCCCGCAAACTACTGAAGCCCAACTGGTTCAGTTCATGTCGGTGTATTTCTGCTAGTTATGGCTCACTTTTCTTTTTCAGCCTAGTTTGCCAACTTAACGGATAAGTTAGTTTGCAGAAATGCAGTGTGTCGTGACGGGAGGAAATGTGAAAGGTAGTCATGTCTCGTCTGTTCATAAATGGTATTTTGCTAAAATACAAATATTTCACCCTTATAGTAATTGTATTGTGTGTGTGTATGTGTGTTCGTGTGTTTGTGTGTCTGTACCGTCCAGTGCTGGCCAAAGCCATCCAGTCTCTGTCCAGGATCGGCGATGAGCTGTATGTGGAGCCTCAGGAAGATGGGGTGAGCTTGTCTGATGCTGACAGAAAAAACACTTCCTTTTGCCACGCACAGTTAGTAGCTTCCTGTTGCTGTACACTTTGCGTCAATGAGTGATGCTGATTTGATATTCTTTCTCTCTTGAAGCTGGCCCTGCGGTCTGTGAACTCCTCTCGGTCTGCATATGCTTGCTTCCTGTTCGCACCACTCTTCTTCAGCAGGTGCAGACTGTGTTTGAGTCATGTAGAATGAGCCAGCGAATGTTCATGTAATCAATTGAAATAAACTTCTCGTGATTTTTGTGCAGATACTCCATTCCCACTGGTCTAAACTTCCGCTGCAAGATGGCTATAAAGGTGTGAGAAAAGGCATGACTGGGAAAACGTAATTGTCTTCTGTGTCATCTGTTCCTAAATTGATTTTTGTAGTACTCCAAAGCCAATCTAAAGAACCGGAGAATGTCTTGACTTAACCCTTGATTTTTGTTGACCAGTCCCCACCCCAACATTACAGTCAGTGTGATTGTTTGGTTCTTTCTCTTCTTTCGCAGTACGTTGTTAATTTGCTGCTAGAAATGCTGCCTTAACAGTTAGGAAGTTGTGGTTAAATGTGGGAACTTTTTTTTCAAAACCTCTGAGCTACTTTCTCCAAATACTTGTAAAGAATCTCTCAGAGTTAACTATTTTCAGACCTGAACAGGTTTTGTAATCAGAATTTACCTTTGGGTTCAACACGCACGTCTAGACTTTCCTGTATATTTCCCTGAATGTTTCACTATGCATTCATAAAGTCAATGTCTTTTATTTCCCTCATTTGTTTCCGCTCAGAGTGTTCAGGCTGTGTTCAGGTCTTTAGCAACATTGGAAAAGACGGTGGAAAAGTGTCACATCTTGCTGGATGAAGAGAAGGATCGTCTCACCTTCACCCTGCACTGCAAACACGGTAAACATCTTATAGAGAGCTAATAACACTAACAGTACGCTATATTCAGTTAGTTTTGGTACATTTTCTGGTATTTGCAGCACATTCTAAACTTAATGCGATATGTCCTTTGTGCCCTTTTGCTCTGTGGGGGATCTTTGTGTTGTTACCTTCTTTGCAGGCCTCTTGAAGACACATAACCTCTCTTACCAGGACAGTGAAAGCTTACAGGCAGTGTTCGATAAAGACAGCTGTGCCAATGCATTCAAAGCCCAGCCCAAGTTAGTAAAATCTTTAAATAAAATGAGTTACCGAATGTCTTTTACTTTCCTTTTGCCTACAGTTCAAACGTAGTAACTTATGTAACTGAGTATAGTTACATAGGTGTAAAAGTTAGTGTTGTTTTTCTTGATTCTCAGGGTGTTGGTGGACACAGTCGTGCACTTCCCTCCCTCTCTGGAAGAAGTGACTGTGAGAGTGAGTGATGACCGGATGTGGGTCAGGAATCATGTAGAAGATGAAGCAGGTAAAACAGCAGTAAAATACAGAAGAAAAACCCTCTGATTGATGAATATTTATAAACTGGCTCAGGCCATTCACATTTACCAACCATAACACCTCGGTAACAGTGTTTATATTGCCAAGCTGTTACTAGTTTATGGGACGTTGCCAGTAATGGCACAAAGAATAATGCCCAATTATGAAAATAATAGATTTAAACTTGCCGTTTTTTAAACGTCTATGTCTTGATTCTTGCTTTTTCTTGTCTCTCAGAGCAGTCCAAGGCCATGCTGACGGAGCTGTGTCTGGCTGCTGATGAGTTCGACCACTTTGTTGCCCAAGCTCACAACAGCATCACCTTTTGTCTGAAGGAGCTACGGGTGAGACGGATGACAGATTAAACAGGTGGAACAGTGCTGGGTTATTGTTCAGACAGTGAGAGAGGTTCTTCGCGGGATGAAGTAAAGCAGCGAGCAGTATGATGACCGGTGTTCAGGGTTTGTAGGGTAGTTTTATTTCTCTTCTTCCAGGGTTTGCTGCTGTTTGCAGAGGCCACAGGTCTACCCGTCTCTATGTACTTTGATGAACCGGGCAGGTGATCATCCTGATTCTCAAGTTGTCTGATTTCAACACTTTTTCCACCAATGAGCATTGACGTGTACATTCTGTGCTCCCATGTCTGTGTGTCAGCCCGATGGTGCTCTCCGTAACAGACACTGTCCTGGAGGGAGACTTTGTGCTGGCCACGCTTTCTGAGAATCCAGGTCATCATAAAAACAACGGGTAAACAACAAACTCTGAGAGATGAAGCCTTCATTTTTTAGAAGTGTTTAGGTCATAGGTGGGTTTTTAGAAAATATCAGAAATGGCACTGACTGAAAATAGAACCATAATTTCTTTCGCACCACGCCTCCTTCCTGACAGGTAGCACGTTTTCAACATTGACTTACAACGCCACCTAGTGGATGATCTGTGCAAGATATAGTGACACTGCAAGCCATGCTTTGGGCTTATCTATGGAAACTTGCAGTGACAGGCAGCCCACACCCTAATGTGCTGCATTTGAATGCCATCTAAAGTTTTTAAAAATGCAGCTATTGGGATGTATGCTGCTGTCAGATCAACAAGGTGGATTTTATTTTTAGGCATTGACCAGTTTGTTCTCTTGAAAATATTTATTTGAGAAAAGATCAGTATAAAGATGAGCCAGTGTGTTTCCGTAGCCTACGCAAACTGTTGAACATATTTCTGTTGCACAAGTTTTGTGTCGGGTCCCTTCAGCTGCAGTTGTAGCCATGTTTACTGGTGTGCACCAGAGGCATCTACCACCAACTAACCCACATCCTCATTGAGTTACTAACTGCTTATTGGTCTCATAAGAATAGTTTTCCAGCTATTTGCACAGTTTCAGACTTCAACAGTGTGCACCTCCCTGGGATCTTTGGGCCTTCGTTGATAACACCTCACATACAGCGTTAGAAAACATTCACTTAAGACTTGGTGTAAAAGGAGCGCTTCAGTGGCAGAAAGCAAACTGGTGCAAAATAGTATCTTCACTGTCAGTAAATTCAGTTTAGCATTAGAGTACAAACACAGAAGCTGTAGATTTATCATTTATTTTCTCCATCCTCTTTGTTTAATCCGTCTTCGCCTCAGATCACACACACAGCAGCCACCCCCTCCTGATGACTTCATGAATGACGACATAGACTCGTACCTAATCGCCATGGATACCAGTGTCGCACCAGACCCATCGACCAACAACCCACCCACATCCTCATTAGCTGTGCCCATAAGTTCAAAACTAAAGATTGCAGCCAGTTGCAGGAAAACAGTGCACAGCGAGGGGGAGGAGGAGGACGTGGATGGAGATTCTGATAAGCCCCCTAACAAGAAGGTATGGTTTAATTTTCACTGGTAAAGAGGGGTCATTTCTAAAGGGTTGCATCTATGTCCCTCTTCCTTGAAAAGACTTGCGGATTTAATAAAAAAAAAATGGATGGATGGATCAGCTCTGCTCATTTGAAAACCTTTTTTAAACATGTCCTACAAAAATAAATGAAGTAATGTATTGCATTTTCCTCCTCTCAGTTCCGGTCCCTCTTCTTTGGATCGGTCCTTCCTCCATCTCCACAGATGACCACGCAGCCAGTAACAACTCAGGAAGTGCTGGCCAGTGACAGTGAGGATGACGCAGAGTGACAGTCGGACAGGCACAGACAGAGCAGACTGTGAATGATTGTAAGAGCACTGTTACTCCACCTGGAACACTTGAAAGCGAACAAGTGGACATTTTGGACTCTCACTTTTATGATGTGCTGGCCAGTACATGTTCTACGTGGACCTGTTTTGACATACAGAGGCCAGTGCTTTGTTATGCATTCCAATGACTGGATTGGAATGTTTAAGGCGGACTTAATATCCAGGATTATGTGAAACAAAAGAAGAAGCACTTCCTTTAATATTGCGTGGAATCTGCACGGTTTGTAATGCAGAAGCAGGATTGAAGTCCCACCAAATAAAACAAACTTATTTTTCAAAGTATGCAAACATCATTTATTATTTACACATCAAAAGGTTCAATATAAACCAATGTGAAACTCAAACAAGTACCTGAAGAGAAAGAGCAACGGTGCCAGATCTAAATATCTGATCTAATCGTCAAAAGAATGAATCAGCATAGGAGGCAGAGTTTCTAAGTGTTTGTGAGCCAGTTTTTGCTGGTTTGGCCACCTCATCTCTATGTTTCTCTCTCGGCCCTTGAAAACTTTTCCCCCTTGTCATCGGTTTCTTTCTCTCCTTCTCCAGCTCCTTCTCTTTCTTCTTTTTCGACCGTTCCTCCTCCTTCTCTCGTCTTTCTCGCTCCCTACGCCTTCTCCTCCTCTCCCTGGAGCTCAGTTTCTCCTCTACCTCCTCCTCTACCGTTTTCCCCGTCCCATCGCTGAAGTCTTGGATTAAGATTTGGGGCACGAGCATCTTGGCCATGCCCTTGGCCCTGCTGCTTTTGGACTGCTCCCCTCTCAGTCTGCGCAGGAGACCAAACCGTCTGGGGGCGTCGGGCTGCTGTGCTGACGTGTCCTGTGCCGCTTCCCCAGACGGCGTGACCCCGGGAGCAGCTCCCGCCGCTGCAGGCTGTGACTCCGGATCGCCAGGGCTGCACCGGGGTTGGGGGGTTTTCTGTGGGGTGGTGAACAGATCTTCGGAGAGCCTCCGTGACAACCCGGGCCCGCGGGAGCTGGACGACTTGCGCAGGCAGAAATCCCCAGAAGACCTGCTGCTGCGGCGCCCGGAGCTCTGCTCTCGACTGCTGTCGTGAGGTTCAGGCCGCTCTTTTGTACAGGCAGAATCTTCCACTTGGGCTTGTGCATCAAAGACAGGAAGCGGATGGCCCGATGCTTCAGTAGACTTGAAGACTTCATCATCCCCTGTTCTGTTTTCCTGCACTTTTTCTGTGCTCTCTGCCTCCTCCGCAGCGTCTGGACAGTCCCGGCCCGTCGGCTGTTCAGAAACTGGTGCCTCAGAGCTGCTGGTTTTCTCTGTACTCATCTCTTCTGCCCCTGTGGTGTGGTTCAGAGCTTCATCCTGTGTCGGAGAGTCTGCGGTCGCCTGTTTTGTTTCTATTTGCGTTTGCTCTGCGATCGTTTGCTCACAAAGAATCGCCTCATTGGACGCCTCAGCTGTTTCTTTTAGTCCCGGCAGAGGTTGGGTTACTACTGCACCGGCTGATTGGCTCGTCTTGTCATCTGCAGGTGCTGTTTCAGCCTCGTTCTGTGCATCAGCTGATCCGTCAGAGTCCTCTCTTCGTTGGGGGCCCTCGACTGAAGATGGCAGAGTTGTGTCTTCCTCTGCCTCTGTGTCTGAGCTAGTGTGGTGGCCTGAGTCTGTCTTTGCTTCATGGACAGTCAAATCATCCTGTGCAGCTGCCTTTTCCTCTGCTTCATCTCCAGCTTCTTCTTGAGCCTCTCCCACTACATCAGTGTCTGTATTTCCTATGCTGTGAGACTCCTCTTTCTTCTCTTTTTCTACTAATAACTCTGTGTTGTCATATGATTTTTCCTCCATACTTTTGGTCACTACTTTCTCCTTCTGTGGAGGGTCAGTTGGATGATCTCGGTTGTTCATATCTGAATCTTCATGGTCTCCATCTGTCCCTGGATCTGGACTTGTCTCACTTGTGCTCTCTGAAGCCTCTGTGACTGTGATTAGATTCACCTGCTGTGCATTTTTGTTTTCTGTGCCTGCCTCTGTTTTCATGTCGGCTTGTCTCGTCGGCTCTTCCTGTGAGTCAGCAGCCACCTCTGTGGTCGCCTCTGCTGCTGCTCCCCCTATCTTGGTTTGGTCGGGGTCTGTATCACTTGCATGTTCACCGTCTGTCAAAGCTTTCTCTGCCTCCTCATGTGAGTCCTGAGCCTCACTCGCCTGGTCGGTGCATTCATGACTTTGTTTCTCCTGGACTTGTGATTGGCTCACAGTGTCCAGCTTTTCCTCCTGTGCACAGAGGGATGTGAGCTCTGGAGGCTGAGGAATATTTTCAACAGTCCGCTCTTTGGCTGGAAATGGATCTGTTTGACTTTCTTCTGTCTTTGAGTCTTTCAGTGGACTTTCCTCTCCAGTCTGTTTTTCTGTGATTGCTCTTTCTCCCGTGTGCTCTGGGGGTGTCTTTTGGGTTTTCAGTTCCTTTAGATTTTCTTCCTGCTCAGTTTCTTCTGTTAGGTTTAACTCTTCCTTTATTTCACGTGCCTCTAAAACTGCCTCCTCCTTCAGGAGGCCCTTCACATTCCTAATATCAGAGGTATTCCAGCTTCTCCAGTCCTCCCTCGCTCCCATTGAAACATGTCTTACAACTCTGTTCCCACCCTCCCAGTCGCCAGTGTTTAATTTTCCTCCTTTTCTCCACTTCTTCTGAAGGAGGGATGGTGACAGTGAAAGAGTGGAGGCTGAGCGAACCAGAGGGATGGACAGGTTCCCTCTATCCCTCTCTCTTCTATCCCGCTCTTCTACGCTCAGCCGCGCTTTTGCCCATGCCATCCGGTATCCATAGCAGCGACCTCTGGGGTCAAAGGTGGATGAGGGTCTGTCTTTCTTCCACTTTTCTAACTCCTTCTCCGTTCGCCTCTCCAGATCTTTGGACGAGAGTGGCACCGAACACACCTGGAATGAGAACAAAACTCTGGTCTGATATTTGTTTGACTTAAAAGTTTTATTTCTAATGACTCAGAGTACCAGGAAATGGAAACATCTGTAATGAAACATTTACATTTATTTCTCCTCTCATTTTGTCAAATTCCTTAGTAATGTGCAGAACCCCTCTGTGTACACACTTTTTAGGGTGGGGTTTGATGAACAGATAGATAGACTTTGTTAGAGATTAGTCTGTCACTGAAAATAGAAACGCAGATTATTGACAAAAGGAGTATGGAGGCCTCTCTCTAAAGATCTATGTGCACTCATTTTCCATCTGAAATGTACCTCTGCTATGAAAGCATCATCTTCCTCCTGGACTTGTTCCCTGACCCCCCTCAGCCTCTCCAGAGTCTCCATCTGGCCCTGACACTGCTTCCTCTGGTCGGCCCGGCCCAGCACCCGGCGCACCAGCACCACCGCCACCTGGAGCAGCACCCGCACTCCTGTACAGCAGCGGGGAGCAGGGGGTGAGATACAGAGAGGGTTCACGCACATAAAATGTACAGTACGAGTCAAGATTATTAGCAATATGCAAAATGAATATGAACTATCAATTTAATGTTTTAAAATCAATTAATAGAATGGAAGCCAAAAAAAGCTGATGAGAATTCTAACTGTTATCATTTCAGTGAATCTGATTCAGATTACTGGATTTTTGCTGTGACTCAAAATATGTTCCTCTTGACTGAAAAGACTGTAAGCTTACAGAATCATGCCATTTATATTGTAAGTGGGTTGTTTCAGCAGAAAAACATTCACCATAGCAGAAAAAGAGGTCCCAGACTCTGAGAAGTGTGTTGAAGGGCAGGTGACGCGTGAACAGACACATCAGCCAGTCGGTGGCAAACATGAGCGGCTCCACTCCGTGCTGCTGCAGATGCTTGTGTGCAGCAGGGCACGTCTTCTTCAGCACCCAGCTCAGCATGGCCGCATCAAACAGGACCCCCTCCTGGGCAACGCAACACAACAGAACGTCAGATGACCCACTAGTGCCCCGGTCTGGGTGTCTACTAAATTGGGATCACCCAAAGCAGAGGTCAACAAAAAAAAAACACTTTCCAGATTTACCGTACTGACTGACATGTGTATTTTTAGTGAAAAGGTCCAAAAATGCGAATAAGCTCACCAGCAGAGGGCTGTAGTATCCAGGCAGGTACTGCTCACTGATCTGAACCAAACACCAGAAAGCCTCCTGGCAGGGGGAGACAATGAAGGTTAGTGCCATTATTACTTAACATTTGTTACATTTATTGTCTGGGCTCTTTGTCTGACCGTGGGATTTAAAAAAAAGAAAAGCAGTTAGATTAGCAAACAGATTAATTTTTGGAGGAGGGCTTTGATGTTTTTTACAATCTTTTTCATTCTTATTCCGTCCAACTAGCTATTTTCTATACCCACTCGGTCCACTGTCTCATCTACCATGAGCAAATGGCAGGGAGCACCCTGAGTTATTACACTGTGAAGGCACACATTCTCCAGATCTGTCAGAACCATACGTAAATAAAAAGACACCATGTGAGGGAACATAACCACTAAGTGTCAGAGCAGAAGGAAACTGTAGTAAAATGGGATTTTAACCTGTGTGGCTTAATAGAGAGACAAAAAAACCCAGCCATCTAGATCAGTTATTTTTCAAAGTTTGAGAGAGCAAGCATTCATTCAGATAAGGTTTTGAAAAGAAAGGCACAATGCCTTTGTGTGTGTGTCTAAATTTTTTCCAGACTGAATACGTCAGCCAGGATCACATAATGCAAACAAATTTCAGTGTATTTACTGGATTGTCATTTGGGTGTAACTAGTACATTTTCCACAGAACTAAGTTTTCTGAGCTCTTCAGTTGGATAATAATGTACCGTTCTGGTGTAAAACTTCTCAATCTCAATTCACCGTGTTTACTCAAAGCTGATTAGAGCCTAAGAGGGAAAAGGGTGGGGGCTGGTCTCACACATTGGAAACCTCTGATGTAGATTTATTTTTTGAGCCATGTTTTCACTACCTCAGCGGGCATGTTCATGAGCAGCACTGCAGCCACGGGCCCCTGAGCCTGGCAGTAGCCCTCCTCTGGCTGGTACTGAGTGTAAGCTTTCAACACCCGGAACAAACCACGCTGCCTGCACACACACACAGCAGTAATTAACCACATCAAGGAGGTGAGTGTGATTAAGGTTGACAATTTGTATGCAAAACTTTTAATTCTGTAGCAAGAAAATAAAAAACAAGTTATTGAAGAATAGCACGGCCAGTCTGTAAAAGTCAGCCTGTCAACACATTTTAGAGTAGCCTACCCATGACCGTCCTTGGAGACGAACATCTCATGGAAAGGGAACTGTCGGTCCAAGTCTCTTTCAATTATATCCACCCAGCTCTGCAGACCAGGCTGTGAGTCCAGAGACTAAAATAGTCGAGCAAAAGTCATCACACGTTTGATTCTTTAAGTACTGACATCATGACAATACAACCCACAATATTTTGACATAAACGTTTATTTGCATTCTATTTGTCTTCATCCATGTGTAGCTTTTCTGTGCTGGGTAAATTATTGCGATGAAAAATCAGTTATTCACGCTGTGTTTGGAACCATTTAACAGCATGCTTTGCAGGAAAAACTTGTTTACCAGAAAACTATTTACCACAAGGAGAATGTTAAATTTTCTCTTGCCTTGTAGACATTTTCGTTTCGCCTCATTCTGTCCGTGGCTCCACACAGCAAGGGCCAGCACTTTGCCCGCAGTGAGGCAGGGATTCCTTTCTGGCACTGCACCTTGACCTATAGGGTAATCACAGACCCAGGATCAGCTCCAATCACAGAGGATCCAGAAAAGAAAATGTAATACAAATCTGTAAGTTACTGGTTTGATGTGATTCAGCGTGGACACACCTTGCTGCCCCTCTTCACTAAGATACGATCCCATTGCCCCATGATGTTTATCCACTTGGCCTCCCTCTGCCTGACAAGCTCAGGGGAGGGGCCCACACTCCTGATGCAAAAACAACACACAACTCACCCAGTGAGTATTTACACTGTGAAGTACTTACTTTATCCACTAAAACACCTAGAGTGACTTTATTTGAGGCCTTTAAGCTGGAGTGCAGTGTTGCGGCGTGCACCTAATGGGTTGTCATTACCACACAGACTCGCAGTGCTTCGAAAAACAAGACAGGAAACAGGAAAACCACAGGTTTGCAGTTTGACATCTCCATGGTAACAGGTCAGGGTGGAATCAGTGAGAAAGGTGGGAAGATGAGGGGTAGCTTTTTGCTTGGCCCGGTCTCATTGTCATTTGACCCAACTCTTAACAGGGTTTCTGTCTCAATGCTCGTTAGAGTCACATACATTTGCAATCTGCTCGTTCTGTTTGTCAGACCTGAGGAAATTATTAAACACATACATGACATAACTAAAGTGGTTCAATGCTTTAGTGATGTTTCATATTTATGATATAAATCAACTGTTTCAAGATATATTGTCATGTTTTTGCTCTCAGGCTGTTGTTTTCAATGTATGGTTCGCATGAAATGTTTCAAAGGTTAACATTCTGATGAGGACGCACTGTGGCTGTATTCATTCTAACGAACGCTGTTTTAATAGCTACAACATATAACCACTGGTCTCCTTTTTTTTATATAACACAATGTTGTATTTTGCTCTTAGTGGATTTATTTTGCCCTGTGCTATGCCTAGAAACTGTGTGTGAACCTTACATTAATACCTGCCCATCTGTTATTGTTAGGCCTCGGCAGATTAACCGAAGCAATATGTCTGAGGTTTCGTGCATTGGATGTAGATGCTGCTCTGTCTCTTTAACCTAGTAGTGTTCATATGCATGGTTTCATTTGAACTTCCTGGTCTCACCAAGGAAGAAAATAACTGTTTTCCTCCACGTAGTTTCAGTCTGCATGAACTTTGTTCATGAAAAACCTTTTCTGTTCTAAGGTCATTTTAATTCTGATTCATTAGATGAGCTGATTGTAATGAAAGCAGCAGTAACTGTGCCTCACTGAACATGTCATTACCACAATAATCATGGAGATGGAAACATGTGACAAGAGATCAGTCTTGGTTTTTAGTCGTTGCAGATGCATTCATATAACTTAAAAGACATTTGGAACTAGAATTTGAAAACACACAATGATTGGGAAAGTTGATCTCAGTTAAGTTTTACATAATGTTATTACAACTGAGGCTTTCTGAACTCGCTCCTCCAGCCGACCTAATCTATCTTTTAACCATTTTACCTCTAAGTAAAAATGTATCTGAAAAGAAGAAACTAAAAACAACAACCTGGTTACATAGTTTTGAAAAGAAGCCTGACCTTTGGTGTAACAGGACAGAGGCTCGGTACGGATGTACTTACTCAGCTGTTGATCCATTGGTCAGAATAAAGCCAAAACGGTCTGTCTCCAGGCTGACCTCAGACCCCGCATCAGATCCAGAGCTGTCCTCCTCTGTGGGGTCCCTCTGGGCTTGATTCGACGGATTCAACATCTTCCAAAGACAGTATAACAAGCTCTCATTATCCACAGTTTAACCGTGTACTAATTGATTTGTATACATCTATGAACTATGAACAACGTTGTTGGATTTTAGTAAAACTTCACGCCACTCGACCAGAAAACTAAAGATGGCTGAATATGTATATAGATAACAATACCTTTTACGTTTCTTTCATATTTGATCTGTCGGTTGCTGAAGAGATGAGGTGTGAGATCCTCCTGTGATGGAAGAGGAAGACACACTTCCTGTCTCTCTCTTGCTGATTTTCTAGCTTGTTGATCCACACCCTTCCCCCGCCTTTATCTGTCACCTAAACATTAAATAATCCCTCCTCTGACGAATATTTCGATGAGCTATTGTCTATTTCTTACAATACAGTCCATAAATAGTCAAGGAAGATACACTCAAACATGATGAATCAAACATGACATCCACATGATGAATGTTTGAAGTGACCTGTCACTTTATCTCTTGTGCTTCCACTTTTCTGAGCAAACAGCTTTGTAATTTTGCACCTATAAGGAAATAATTTTGAATACACTAACACAGAAGTTTCATGCATACAGGGAAAATTCAAAACGGACGGTAGTTTTGTTTGTACCCGCTGTTTGTATCCGCTTTGGCCGAAAGGAGAATTACCGAGGTGCTCTGAATGCAGCATAAATACAACTACGTAGGTCGGGGACTGTTATCTGCTTATAGTTCGTCGGATACTTCTGTCTGAGTAAGTCAAATAACCTAAAGGTGAACTAACTGTTTTTTAAACTATTCCAGATTTAAAAACTGTCCTAAATAACCATCAGTGAAATTGATGACTGACGTTTGGTGATTAGTTCATTATATACAACAATTTGTTTAGGAAACACGTGTAATCTAACTAAAGGAATGCACTTTTGCCTAATAATTGCACTAACCTTATACACTGCTACATTGTAAGGGCGAACTCCATTATTAGTTATTTTAAAGATGCGTTCATTGTCGTCCTGAACATTTTATAAGTGACGTATTACAAACTTTTTAATAGTCGAATCGCTACCATGTACAGTGTTTGGTAATGATAAGATTACAATTTAAGCCAGCTGTTTTAATTTTAATGGACGTGATTGTATTTGCAACGTAAGCCACTAGCTAATATTTGACCCAAAAAATATAATAATTCTGCGTTTAGCTTCATGTTTTTTATTTGAAATAGTCACATAGTTCACACTGAAGTTGCAGTTTGGTATTACTTAAATAAAGCATTTAAATTCTAAAACCAGAGATGTCCTGGTTTTTCCCATTTCCCCGGCGTGTCGTGAACAGGGCAAATGATAGACGTAACAACGGGGATTTGGAGCGCCAGATTAAAGGACGGCTGTTCTCCAGTCCCTCTCCTCTCCGGTCCTGCTTTCAGATTAGATCTTTTCTGAGTTATTGGTTGGTAAACGTATTTGTCTATTAGGTAAAAGTTCTGTTTTTTTCTCTCTTCCCTTCCCAGATATGTCAACTGCACTCAGCCTGCGTTTTCTACACAGCTACACAAAACCAGGTGCTGTCCACCTAAAATAAACACAAGTAGGATGCATCAAAATTATGCGTGTTTATGTCCCTCACTTCACATCATTTGTCTCTCCAGGTACATTTGGATGGGCCCCTGGTGTCACGCGCACGTTCAAAGTCAGTGTGCAGAGCAGTGGCTATAGTAAGTGTGGATACACTCGCATGCTGTCCATGAAGATCCCATACAGAGTTATCCTTTAACAAATTCACATACATCTGTCTTTATTCTACCAGAGTATGTAAATGCTCAGGAGCTGCCGACTGACCTGAGATCCATCACTGACAGGGCAGCCACAACCCTCCTTTGGACGGAGCTCTTCAGAGGTCACATTTAATTAGATTTTTGTGCATTTGGTTGATTCAGGCATGGTGATGTATCTAGAATTTTATTTTTCAAGAGGACCAACATATTCAGATGCATTTTTCAAATTATATTTTCAAATTGGACAAAGCTGATTATTTACCATAAGACCTGCTCTTAAGAGCTTTTCCCAGATGTACCTGTTATTTAGATTACATTACCATAAAGAATTGTATGATTTTTCTGCTCATTCTGACTGAAGAGGGATTTCATAGATGTTTCCAGTTTGTAAAAATTTGAGGAAAATGTATATGTTGCTGTTGTAGAAAAATATACACTTACCAAATTTGACAGGACAAGGGGTGGGCCGACTTTTGTTAGTTTTACTTCCTGTCATGAGTTTTTGTTTGTTGTTGTTTAAACCCAACTATTGTCCCATAAATGTACTTCTTCCCAGACTGACTCATTCGCCCGCTTCTCGCTGCAGGTTTGGCGATGACCATGAGCTACCTGTTCCGTGAGCCTGCAACCATTAACTACCCCTTTGAGAAGGGCCCCCTGTCACCACGATTCCGTGGCGAGCACGCCCTGCGCCGATACCCCAATGGAGAGGAGCGCTGCATAGCCTGCAAACTGTGCGAGGCCATCTGCCCGGCTCAGGTGAACACAAACACAGTTCCTGTTTTAAAGATGGAAGCAAAACACAAGTTCATTGGCATAAAGCCAAAAAACACTGCCTGTTAAAAAAAAAAAAAGTCATCAAGAACCCTAACTGAGAAGTGACAATAAACAATAAAATACAAATAAACAAGTCCAATAGCTGCATGCTAGGATAATTAGCTACTCTGAATTTCCCCAAGCAATAAATGTGAGTGTATGTGGTTGATGGTTGTGGTTTTGTGATGGCTTGGTGAGCTGCCCACCTTTTGCCTGATGGCAGCTGGCATAGGCTCAGGCGAGCCTTGTGGAATCCTGTATAGCTGTGGAGCCAAAGTACAACACTTACTAACCATAGTACAAAAATAACAGTGTCCACCTTTAAAGATGTGGTGATCTGGTGGAGCAATAACATTTAGATTATATTTTTTATGCTGCATGTATGAACACCACATGTTGGAATAAATGCACATTGAGCTCACACAGATGTTTTCTCTCTGACAAACATGCACAAATGTAAGACAAGCAAGTGACTTCCTGCCTTGAATGTTTACAAATGATTTTCCTCCCCTTGTTTTTTCTCCCTATGTTGATCGCAGGCGATTACTATTGAGGCTGAGACTCGAGCTGATGGGAGCAGGAGAACCACCCGCTATGACATCGACATGACCAAGTGCATCTACTGCGGTTTCTGCCAGGAAGCATGTCCCGTCGATGCAATCGTTGAGGTGGAAAAGCTTTAGAAACAACCATATTTTTGCATCTTTTATGTGACAAGAGTAACTTTTTGCATCAAGACTTTATGGTGTTCACATTTATTTCAATCCGTCCCTTAGGGTCCAAACTTCGAGTTCTCCACCGAGACCCATGAGGAGCTGCTGTACAACAAGGAAAAGCTGCTTAACAATGGAGACAGATGGGAGGCTGAGATAGCAGCCAACATACAGGCTGACTACCTATACAGATAGAATGCTGCATCTGTTTTCTCACTTTAAAGATGCATGAATACCACATATTATGCTTATGTGCATTAAAGAGATTAATACTAGTAGCTTTACAGAAAAACGGTGAGTTATAAATGAGCAATGAAGCCTTGCAGCCTCAGGTTTTGCCCAACAGAACTGAGGGCAAGTAAAATACGCACAAATTCTGTCTTGATATTAACGTGATGATGTTAAATTTGCACAGTCGGCGAGACCATTCACTGACATTTTAGTTTAATGCTTGTTTTTGATTATTGTATGGGTTGAATGTTTATTGGAGAGTGTAATGTTTTTATTTCTGTGGCTGTCTTGAACAGTCAATTAAAACATGTTAAAACTTAACAAACTACTTATTTGCTTCAGACTGCTTGGCACCTGCTCTGTTGTTTCAAAGGTATTTTTACAACAGACAATGAGATGATGGAGATGAGGTGATAGAAAATCACAGCTTTTAAAATGATCACGCTGTCTCTGGTCCAAACATATAACAATGTGCCTAGACGCTCTATGTATGACTTATGACGGGGCATTCTGTGCAAATGTAAATGTTTGCGAGATTACTGATATTATTGTGTCAGTTTAAAAAAAAAAAATTTGAAATATGTCTCAATCAGCCCTGAAGTCCTTTTGTTGGATCAGCTTGTTGGCTTCATGTGGCCTACAATATATGGTTTAATTCATAGTACTGATTCATGATTACTGCTTAAAATACGACTTGTACTGTGTCACATCCATGTACATCCAGGTGATGTTAATTTTCTGGGACAGTATTTTTATCTGAAAATGGATGCTGAATCATGGTTAGTAAATACAGAGCTTTTACCGCTGCAGAGATCACGTGATCAGGGCGGAAACTGACTCATAGTCCACGCTGAATCTCCCGCGAACGCAGCCATTTACTCTTTCCTCTCTTCGCAGTGACACCGGTGAGTCTGTTCCTTCCTCTCATTGCGGGCCGTTCTTTATTTCAAGTTTGTTTTTGTGTGGCACATCGGTTAAAACAACGGGAAACTCGGAGGTATGCACTATGTTAATCGGACGTTTTAGGTGTAGCCATGTGGCCAAAGGGCAACTGAAAAAAAGCTATTGATTTTTGGTGCTAACTGCCAGCTAAGTTAGCCGTTAGCTCGTTGAAGAGAATGGCTTCCATGCCGCGCTAGCAGTCAGTTAGCACGCGCAGCTACCATTGATTTCGCTGCTTTGTTCTTGGCTCCTGCTCATTTTCCCGTGTTCAAGTGCGTCTTCTTCGGATATCAAAGCACATTTTGTGTGCTTAATTTGTAAGTTGTAATCATGGGTGTTTGTTTTGGGTCGGTTAAGAAATCTGCCGCAGGAAGGAACACATTAGCTGCTCTTCCAGACCTGATTGTTCCAGTCGAACAAGAAAAAGTGCGCTCGCGCGTCATATGGCGCACTAAACTAACGACTGTAGCTTCTTAGCTTGTAAGCTAGTTGGCAAACGCTTGCGGTTAAATACAAATTTACTGGCACGTTTGCCTTTTATGCTTATATTCAGATTCTTACGTTATGATTATCTGTAGCGTTGTTGCCAAGACGATAGAAAAATGAACGTTTAATGTCAACGTGTCGGAACGTTTGTGTGGTAGAACATGCTAGAGGTAATTTTTGTATTACAGTCTGATTGGGTAGCCGTGAAACGGATGCTATTTGCGAATTATTCGGATTCATGGCTGATGCTGTTCCGTTTAGCACAAAAGGCGCAGTTGGGTCTTTGCTAACATGGCTAACTTTACATGACCAACAAGAAGATAACCAAACGTGCTAACTATCCATCCCGCCCTGTTTTCTTCCAACTCAGAAAAGTCGCACCCATGGCTGATTCAATGGCTCAGTGTGTTCCGGTGGCAGTTTTCAAGGTATGTACTCGAAATGTAATTCAATTACTTATGTGTATTCTATCTAGCCCGTAAATAAGATTAAAAAATGTTTCTTGTTGAACTCGCTGTAGCCAAGCTAACAGCCGTTCCTATGAACCAGTACCAACCAGTCTGGACTAATTGTGATCTTTTCCTCACAGCTTGTGTTGGTGGGAGATGGAGGCACAGGAAAGACAACTTTTGTGAAGAGGCACATTACAGGGGAGTTTGAGAAGAAGTATGTAGGTGAGTTGGCCACTGAGAATAAGTTTGAGATCCTTTTCTGTATCCCAATGACAAAAATACAACCAAATATCAGATGTTTTTAGACCAAAGTGCATTACATTAAAGAACTGTCCTGGGTAGGTATGTAGAATGCCTGAGCTTAGTTGGCTCAAAATAATTTCAGATACTTGGCCATTTGTTTTGGTAAACGTAAATAAAGATTGCGTTTAATTCCTGGTTACATATTTCGGATTATTAGCTATGTTTACAGTTTTCCCCACACTTCAAGATATTTTTTTAGATGTTTGTGGCAGCAAGGCAGGCTGCCTGATGTGATAATGAATGTATTATTTTGCAGGATGCCAAGAAAATAACTTCATAGTGCCTTTAATTATTTTTTGGAAAAGTATATTTATTCTGGAATTGTTCATGTCCTCAACAAAAGAATAGGTTTAATTTACTTTGTTAAACATTTCAGTCAATGGGGAAATTAGTCAAGTTCAGGATTATAGGTCCACCCATTGAGGGGTATTCTATTTTTATGGCTACATTGTTTGCATGGACACATTATCCAGGAAGTGTAGACTGAAAATACACATAACTAACTTGATTTGTTTCTATTATAAAGATCTGTCAACCCAAATACATTCTAGATAGACTGTGCTTGAAACTTGAAAACCCAAGTGAGTTGGTGGGCCTCAGCATATAAATCAAGTTTGGGGCCTGCTTGAACTGTTAAGTGCACATGGTCAACTAATTGGAGATGATTTTAAATCTTTTCCTTATTTATACATGACATATGACCCTTTCCGCAAAGAAATGGCTTTTAATTACTATTTCCCTTTTTAAAATGTTGTTTTGAATTTCAGCTACTCTGGGAGTCGAGGTACACCCACTGATGTTCCACACCAACAGAGGACCCATCAAGTATAATGTGTGGGATACAGCTGGTCAGGAGAAATTTGGTGGTCTGCGAGATGGCTATTACATCCAAGGTGCTCCTCCTGTCTTTATCCATCCTGATATTTAAGCAGCCACATGCACTGAGGTTGTCTCTGCATTAATGGAGTATTTGACTAAACATGCCTGCTTCCCCAACAGCTCAGTGTGCTATCATCATGTTTGACGTCACTTCTCGGGTCACCTACAAGAACGTGCCCAACTGGCATCGTGACCTGGTCCGCGTGTGTGAGAACATTCCCATTGTCCTCTGTGGCAATAAGGTAGACATCAAAGACAGAAAAGTCAAAGCCAAGAGCATTGTGTTTCACCGCAAGAAAAACCTGCAGGTAATGAGTGTGTTCTCTCCTTTTTGTGTTGCCATTTTTATGACTCATTGAAGATGCTGTCCTGGATTTATTTGCTCTTAACTGTCTCCATGCCTGCTCTTTCTCCAGTACTACGACATTTCTGCCAAAAGTAACTACAACTTTGAGAAACCTTTCCTGTGGTTAGCGAGGAAGTTGATCGGTGATCCCAACCTGGAGTTTGTGGCAATGCCCGCCCTGGCTCCCCCAGAGGTCCAGATGGACCCCAGCCTCGCTGCTAAATATGAGGAAGAGCTTCAAGTGAGTGTTACTTTCTGTGACAACCCTGTGGCATCTTCATCCGAAAGGCATACAAATAAAACTCAACGAGGTGGCTGTTCGTGTTGGCCAATAACGTTTGTCTTTCCACCTTCCAGGTTGCATCACAGACAGCACTCCCAGATGAAGAAGATGACCTCTAACCTGTTACCTGTGCCCCTCCCCTCCCCAAATGTGGACAGGAAATTGTCGGAGTTTTGCCCCTTTACTGTAAAATCCCTTTTCAGATTTTTTTTTTATTTTTGAATCTTTTTGTTTTAAAACTAAGAAGAAAAAAAAACTTTGTGGTTCTAATTTCACTGTATGACACACGCATACCCCAGTGTTGTTGGCATGGCAACGTGCTACTCCTCATCAAGCACCCTCCACTGCACATACCCAGCCCGCATAACGCTGATGTACAGTGTACCGGAAGCACTAAGGGGAATAAACTTTGAATAAAAACATCATCAATACAACGTGCTTGTTAATCTATTTTTCTGGACTGTGTTCAGGGTGGGGGTCTGTAAAAATCCAGTAATGCTTATGCTCCCAATAGTTCCGAAAAGGTCTTTAAATTGTTTTTTTTTTCTGTTTTCATTTGTCACAGTAGAATAAAAGCTTGAGAAACTGGTTACTTCAGCTTCCACAGTAATTATGTGTGATGATTCCGATAACAGTACGGTCCCTGCAGTTGTCCTGACGCTTGCCTCAGCAAATAAAGTGTTCTGTAATTTGGAATTATTCCCGTTTTCACTTATCTGTACACAAAATGCATGATTGTGACAGCTTCTTCACCCATGAAACATTTTCTTAATAGTGATTTTATGTTTATGCTCAGCTGGTTAAAGTGTCAAACTACTGAGAGCCTCTGCTCACACTGACGAGAATCCACAGAATCAGAAAGTAATGAGTGAAGAGCTCAGACATTCACGTCTTCAAATATCTGGAAGTCATTGCATGCTGAAACTTGTTAGACCTGGATTGACTTAACTGTGATGAAATACTGTCTTGTATTTGCTGGTACATTTCAAGTGACCTCAGGGAAACTTTGCCTACGGAACAAACCACATTTTTGATTCGATAAGGGGCTTGTTAAAATGTAATTACGCCGACCACCTTCATAAAGTACCCTATCCAAAAGTTATTCATGTAGCTCAGAAGGCATGGTTTGGCCTCTCCGTCGCTAGGTGTCAGTCGTACTCTCCTATCCGGAGCGCATTGAACGTGCCCTTTCAGGATTACGTAATACCTTTTCTGTGTCTCTACAGGTAGCTGCGCAGACGTGAGGGCTGCCACATCAGGCATCCTGCACCCAGAGGCGAATGCTGGAGAAGTCCAAACTGTTTCTGATTGATTGATAATAATAATACACATTGTAGGCTCAATTCAAGGAAAACACAAATAGCCTCTTCTAAACCCTGATGAGGAAAAGGAGAAGGAGGTACAATACCATCTTAAGTAAATGTGCTTGGTGAGGTTAAGGAAGAGAAGGCTGTTTTTGGTAACTGAGGATGGCACTGTAGAAACCATACGTCCACTGAGGGTAGAGAAGTGAAGGTAGCAAGTATCCAAATGTTACAATGTATTTAAATGAGTGTTCACAACTGACTTGGTTTATCTTCCCTTTACCGGTATTTACTAGTTATTTCCTGCTTTTGGTAATAAAAACAAAAAAAGAGGGCCCGAATGAATGAACTTTCACTTCTCTCACAGTATCCCCAAATGCTACAATCAGGTATATTTTCAATTTATCAGTGGCATATTTGCAGTTCAACTGAATAGAATCAGCCAGGTGAGTCTAAAGGGAATTACATAGTTCTACATTCCGGCATGTTATCCTTCTCTCTTTGCTCAGGTTTGATTTCATTAGATGTGAACTTTAAATATTTAACTGGCTGAATTTGCTGCATATCCATGAACATTAAAGTGCACGGGTTTAGCTGCAAGCCAAATAAAAGGCTTTATTGTGAGCCCGTTTTAATTTAAATTCAAGTGCAAGGAAGCACCACCAATATGAAAGAGCAATTTTCAGATTTGCAGCAAAAAGTTGTTAGTTGCTAGTACTAAAAGCAGAAAGTTGCAGTTATCTAATTGTTCTAAAAAAAAAAGGCAAGTTAATTTTTAATGAATTTACATGCATTATCACCAGACCATCACACAAACAATTTAGTACTTTTTTTTTTTTTTTTTTGTAAACGTTGTATTTATAACTTTGGTATGCTACGGGACTAATATGCTATCACACTATTCCCACAACACCTGAATGCATCAGCAGTGCAGGTGGTTCAGGGCGTGGTTTCCACAAAGCACACAAGGACGTGCCTGCGCATGCGTGAGCCTGAAAAGTGCGTTTTAGAATGATTACTGCTGGCCAGCGGAGGGACAGATTATACGGCACTCCACAACTGTTGTTTTAATCCCCTGAGAGGGGAGATTTAGCAAGAAAAAACATTGGCTTTAAACCCAGCAGCCATATTGTATGGAAAAACGACGGAAAGACTCCTGTTTTCTGAAAAACCCGTCTTCTCAGATACATCTGCCAGGACTTTGGGGGAGTTTAATTTTTCTCTTTTACTGGCGGTGGGTTTGTGTTGCACAGCTAGCCTGCCAGCTGGCTGAGGAATTTAGAGATTTTGAATAGTTTTACAGTCATTTCACGGAGTAGTGGGGTTATATTTTCGTTGTGCTAGTGTGAAGTTAACAGTCTGATAATGAAGGACCGATTGGAGCAGCTGAAAGCGGTAAGTGATGCCCAGGAAATGTTTTCCCAACATCGTATATTGTCTCAAGGAAACGGTTGTTTTGGGACAAAGGGTTAGATTGAGACTTGAAGAAACTTTGTTCCCTCTTTTGTATCCAGTTATTCTAACATTTGGCACTAAAAACAATATCCATTAGAAGAGATGGTACACCATGACATCATGCTGAGAGGTGCTATGGAGGGGGTTCTTAAAGGTGACTCACTTATTGGATGTGTTTATTTTATAGGAGGTATTCCTTGCCTGTTTAAAAATGACAACCAGATGATTTATTTAGTGTGCAATTTAGTTTGTGTCAAGGCTTTTAATAGAGATGAATCACTTCATTCGTTTTGACCAAACTTGACAAATAATTGAGGTCACAAATGAGAATCTGAATTGGGATTTATTTAGTTGTGACTATTAAAATATTTGACTGTAAATCTGACAAACAAAGTTGCCACAATAGACTGATTAATACAAATGCTTAATACATTTTAAAGTGTAATCTGGTGCTCTGTAGATGAGGGATTTATTCACTTTGAGAAAAATGGACTCGTAAAAGTAAAGATGCGATGGTGTACTTGTCACTTTTCACTTGAGTCGAAAGTTATTATAAAATCACCCAAACTTTTGTGGCTGTAGTCGATGAAGGAAGTTGTGACATGCCGACATAGCCTTCAGTTAGGATGGATTTTCATCTTGCACGTCTTTAATAACCTCCAAGCCCCGTTTTCCATCATAATTTTAGGGGATCGTGGGCCCTCTGAACAAGAGTTATCAACCATCTGAAGTTGAAGACGTTCCCTTTCTGTTCTTGCTGCTTTGGCCTTGATCCCGCTGTAACAAAAGCTGGGACGTGTTGCTGTCGCTAGCTGAAGCTGTTGGCTAAATATTTGCAGTGTTTAGAATAGCTGAACTCCAGTATTCCCCCCTCTAGACATCATTCTCATGCGACCGGCCTCGTTTCAGTGAAAGGAGCTGCAGAAAGGAAGTGAAGAAGGCGCCTGAAGTGTTAGGAGTTGACACAACGCTTGTTGTCCGTTGCTGCTAAGCCAGGCAATTTCCCCACTGCTATCTCACCTTTTCCAATCTTAGCCCTGTAGTTTTTTTTATCCTTTTACCTTATCACCATTCCTCCTCCACCTTTATGCCCCTCCGGGAGTCTCCTTTCTAATCTTTAACTTGCAGGCAGGTTGTGTGGCCGCCCGTGGGCCTCTGTACCTGTGAGTGTTTGTCCAGGCTGCTGTCGGCACGAGCGCATCACCTGACCCCGGTTCTGCTGCCATAAACTGAATCACAATTTACTGAAGCGTTACGTCACTGTTTTTGTCAGATGTTGTTGTTCCGCAAGCTGCTGAATCGGCTGCATGACTTCTACCATAGATAGTTTGACAAACTGAATAGAAAACTAGGTGAGAAATTTTGAGTGGGCCTTTACAGTGAGGCTTTTCTCTGTTCTGTTTCTTTTCGTTCATCGTATTTTCATATGTGCTTTCAGTCAAAGCCTTTTGCTTCTCACTTCTGTGTGCTGAAACCATTCACTTCCTTGGAAATTGTACTTTTTTGGGGTCTTTTATCATGGACTCTACTCAGTTTAACGGTACATGACGGACTAAAACTCAGATCCCCACGTCCTCCTTCATTCTGAAATGTCAGAATACTTCTACTTTTACAGCCTGCTTCAAATGCCAGCAGAGCCACATTCATTTTGCCTCCTCATCTGGAAATATCACTTCTAAGCTGGGAGACTGATCTGAGGTAAACTATTGGTTTGGGTTGTGTCCTGTATTCAGTTCAATTAATTTGACCTTTATGCAGTAAGAGGATTGCGGTATCTGAGCGATAAGCTTTGAATGAATGAACCGTTGTGGACACTACTACAAACACAGCTGGGCCGGATGAATCCCCGCGGGCCGTCCTCTAACACCACCTCACTTAATGTTTAACACATCACCAGAAAGGTCACGTGCTTTTGGACATGCTGAGATGAAATGGGGTTTGCCTTCATACAGCTCCACTAGTACGAGCATTTAAGAAAAGAAACCTGGTGAAACCTTTCTTCTTTTCTTTCGGCCTTCATATGTATTTTCCACCCCCCTGCCTTTCAGCAGCAGAGTTTGTTCATAATCCTCTGAGACAAAGTATCACCTCCAAGATTGTAAACGATGATGGATTGACGGGAAAGATAAGTCGGAAGGAGTTCAAACTGACCCGATTATGGACAGTGATCCCTTTCAGTCACTCCAACCCAGTCTAAGACCACGTTTCACAAGTTAGAGGTACATGTCTTCCTTCTGGAGAGTGCTGCATTTAATGAGGAGGGGAAAAACCACACTAGTTGCCACGAGTCGGCTTGACAGCTGAGTCCAAAGAAGTCAGGAACAGTTGTTCATCAACATCTGCTGACCTGTTGGGACCGGTTTTTACAGAGGAACTATTTTCTTTCCTCTGAAGTAAAATGGCTTCCTGTTCACCTGTGGGTACTCTGGACAGCATCATTGGATAATAAGGTCCTGTTTGGTCCTGCTGAGCTCTGATGGTAGCAGAGCTTAACCCCCGTCTCTCCTCGTTAGTTATTGTTCTTTCCTAGGTTGGACCCTGCTGGGTCCCCATATGCTGGTTCTTCTTTTCTCATTGGCTGTTGGTCCTTATCACCGACCACTCCGGTGTAGCCAACATGTCGGATATTGAATTAGGGAAAGGGACGTCTCCCTGAGCCTGAAAAATCGCATCCTTGAAGCGTTCAGTTGTATCATCGATCGATCGTTGAACTTGGATTTTCCTCATTTTGTCCAAACTGGTGCTTAAAATCTCTGATAAGGCGGCTTCAGGTGGCCTTTTTCCGGGAACGCCGCCAACCTGTGGTCGAGGGCCCTGCGGCCTCACTGGTTCAATCGCTTTCGGTTTGGGTTGCTTTCATTCCTTCATCAGGGGTTGCAGAAGCACAGTTAATAAGAAGCGGACACCTTTAAGCTCTTCTGCAGGAGCGCAGAGAGGGAATGCTTAGCACTGACCCCGATCATCATGGTGTTTTCCTGTGTGTAAAACCTCATATTTTTAGTCTTTTCTGCATTGAGGGGACTTAATGGAAGCGGACATCTGGTGCTTTGTATTGACAATAAATAAGATGAGACACATGAACCTTCATGCACAGCATGTGCTCCATTTCATTATCTTTCTCCGGCTGAACAAATTCTGTCCAGTGTGTGAAAGATTTGAGTGATTGTGCCGTGTTCCCTGTGAGATTATGTTTTTTTTTTTTATTTGGTTCAGGGAAAATCTCATTTGCTGCGGCGGGGTTCCCTCCACCAGCGTGCCATCACACCCTTCATGGGAATGAAGTGCCAGCTAGCATTTGTCACGTGACACAAATGCTTTGAAAAAAATAAAAGAATGATAAAAAAAAGACAAATGTGAACGTTACACCACCTCCAAGTTCCTCAGAAGCAGAAACGCTGTGTGCTTAGTTTGAGTCAGTGTGATCTTGGTCTTTGTAACAGTGTCTTCTGACTGTGTTGTTTCCAAGTTGAGTCAGTAGATAAGAAACATCCATTACAATCACTTCTTATGACTGGGGAAAGACCGACTCCCTCTCTTCCTGGCAGAATCGAGCCGTTTTGACACTGAAGGGGGGGCGTGCGTGCGGCCTTTGGCTGTTTGGGCTGTCGGACCCTTCCGTTCCTTTCCTCTTGTTTCTGCTGAGTGAGACAGTGGAAGGAAGTGAGCGCTCGCTCTTATCTCCCCGCTGCAGAGGCGCTGTGTGAGGGGAGAATATTGTGTCAGCTGGAGGATCACGTTTGATGAAGAACTCTTGCGGTGGATTCAGAAAGCGGCTCAGAGTCGGCGTGTGTCCGGGACATTCTGTTTTGTTGGTTCCAGCCCCAACCAAATGGTCCTTACAGCATTTGCAATTCAAATGTGAGAGCAGTGGAAACTGAAAGACAAACATAGAGTCTGAAACCAAATGCTGGTATCCAGGATTTTGTTTTCTCTCTTATTCTCCAGATAAGAGACAATGGAACAGTCCAGTATCTAATCAACAAGTCCACGGTGATTCACAATTTTGCCCCCCCCCCCAGCAGCTTTAACTCCAACACGCCCTTCATCTGTAACAATAAAGAAGAATCAGACCTGCTGAGCTTCTGAACAGAGTGACCTGTAAACGTAGCCCGAGGGTTTTGTCAGATGAAATAAGATTAAGGAAGTCAGCAGCTCCGACAACCGCACCCCCCACCCCCACCCCCCAACACACACACATCTGGACTTTGACCCAGTCACACCTGAGTGTCACACCTGACCAGCCCAGCCTTTAGATTCATGTGAACAGTGTGGCCACTGGCCAGTAGTTGTGAACCCCCATTGTTTCCCTTTTATGACGGTCAGCTCTGTCTGAATTGTTGTGTGCTTTATTGCCAGCATGTCATTGAGGTTTATTGCGTCACTCCTAAAGTCGGCTTGAGATCCTGGAGCCTGAGTCTGTACCTCCCGTGTAAATATCCAGCAGCCTTCCTGGTATTTACTGTCAGTCCCTGGTGACGCATTCTAATAAATTCATTGGGTGTGGGCTGATTAAAGTGAGACCAGTCTTTCTGGTTGGAATATATTGCTCTTATATGTATATGCCCCCATATTTGTAAGGCCAACATAGGCTTAAAAAACATCCAGTCACTAATTGGCTGTGGTTTCTTTTATTTAGCTGTGTGTCTTTTCCTTGACATCCCAAAGGTATTCAGGGCCAAATTCTGTATTAAAACAATGTGTCCCACTCTGAAGACCGCTCATAATTTCATTCCGTTGAATCCTGTCATCTTTACCTTGGAGTATACGTGTCTCACCAGCGAGGAACAGATTTCCTTGAGTGGAAATGCCCATTAATTCAGCACACGTCATGGCAGAAGCTAAAACCCCATTAGCTGAAGCAGCTCCTGATTATTTGCATAGTTAAATCCAGCTAGTGACTCTTTTAGTTTTTTTTTTTATCATGTGTTTATGGATCAGTGGTCGTTAAATTGGATCTGATGGAGGGTCAGGTGGCAGTTCGTTTACCCAGAGGGGGACAAAACCTGCCTTCATGTCCACCAGTACTGACATAATTAAAGGATGAATCAACTTTTTTTTTCTGTGTTGCCAGGAATTTTATCCTGTCAAAATGCTGAATAGCACAGACAAAAGTTATTACACTCACGTATGTAAGCTGGAATCTTACCGGTCCAACTTGAGGGGAAACAAGCATTTAATCATCACTGTCATAGCAGGGCAAAGAGGGGAACAGCTCCCAGAGAGTCATTAGTCTGCTGTGGATTACAATTGACAGGGGCAGCACATTTAATCCCCCTTTCATTCCAGAGACAGTGGGGTGGCAGAGGTGCTGGGAAGGAGTCCATGTTAACCCCTCATGGTGTTTGAAGCTACAGCCTGAAAGTTTAGCCGAGCTTTAGAACTGAGTCCTGCTTTATACGTGAAGCTGACTTATCAAAGGAGTAAAAAGACAGTGAGTGGCTATGAGTTCAGAATTATATGTATGTTTTTAATTTTTTTCTTTCCAATGGTGTTGGAAAAACAGGCGATTCTCTATTTGACTGGTACAACCCAAATGTTCTTTTGAAAAAATAATCATTTAAAAAAAATGAGGACATGGTTTTTCAGATTTTTATTTGCGGGTGAGCTTCCTGTCTTTGTAGATGTGATTTAATATTTGTAAAGAAGAAGTGTAGAGTAAATAGAAAAGGGCTCAGGGATTCATTTGTTCCTCTGACCTGTTCTCGATTCCCCTTTTGTTCCTTTAGACGTGTGATCAAGATGACGAGGAGGTGGAGATCGCTGTGGACAATGCAGCCTTCATGGACGAGTTCTTCACTCAGGTCAGTCTAATTCTGTCCATCAGTGTGTGTGTGTGTGTGTGTGTGTGTGTGTGTGTGAAAACTCCTCAGCTTCTCTGAGGTGTGAGCACCTCTTTGTAGGATTGTTCTCCTGTTTATTTTCCTACATCTAAAATAAGCGTCTGTCTTTTTCAGATTGAGGACATCAGGAACAGTATTGATAAAATTGATGAGAACGTGGCTGAAGTCAAAAGGCTTTACTCCGTCATCCTGTCTGCGCCCACCTCCGAGCAGAGTAAGACACCCCACAACTACCAGCCTCCAGATACCCCATGGTTTTTTCCCCCACAGAAGGCCCCTATACTTTTTTTAATTTTTATTGAATAGCTCATCTTTACTAATGTTACCAGTACATGTGACACAGCTTTGTTATCGCTGCTCAGAAACGCAGGATGATTTGGAGGCAATCACCAATGACATAAAGAAGATGGCCAATAATGCAAGAAACAAGCTCAAGAGTAAGTCTGCCCCTCCACCACCACTCCAGCTATTCAAAGTGGGGTGATGTTTTTCCTTTTTTTCCCTCCATTAAATCTGATTTGATATGTAATGAACTGGAGCTGAGGTGATAAATCTGTAATTTGGACCGTTTCCCAGCCATCGAGAGGAACCTGGAGTCGGAACAGGAGGAGAGGGTGTCGGCTGACATGCGGATACGGAAATCACAGGTAAATTCTTCCAGTGGGAAGTTACTCTTGTTTTTTTCTATTTATTTATTACTATTTTTTCGTGCTAACTTTGGTTTAAGTTGTCGCTGACTGCTTGTGTGAGCATGTACTGTTTTTCTGTCTCCCAGCATGCTGTGCTGTCCAGGAAGTTTGTGGAGGTAATGACAAAGTATAATGAAGCTCAGGTGGACTTCAGGGAGAGGAGTAAAGGGCGCATTCAGAGGCAGCTAGAGATCAGTAAGCGGCAAAGTTACACCTGCCAACACTACAGTGAAGTCCTGTTGTGGTGCAGAGGTGTGGATGTGTTGGTGACCCCTCACTTTATCTCTCCTTTTTAGCTGGAAAAGCGACAACAGATGAAGAGCTGGAGGAGATGTTGGAGAGTGGAAATGCTGCTGTGTTCACTGCAGGGGTAAGAGTGTGTTTGTCCTTGTTTTATAACTGTGTTATTACAGTGTTCCTCTGTTCGAACTTAAACATGAAGATTCCTCTTATTCTATCGAGATAATTGTTTTCCTTACTTTGCCTTATGTAGTTCTCATCTTAGGAATTTTCTGTGCTCACAGAATTGACAAGTCACAACAACCACAAAAGACAAATTCCTGTTATAAGACTATATTGCGTCTTATTCTTTTCCTAAATTATGAGAAAAAATATAAAGCACATTGTTTATATTTAGCCTCTTTTTAACACTCCTCTTTACAGATCGTGGATTCTGGAATCTCAAAACAAGCCTTGAGTGAGATTGAATCCAGACATAAAGACATCGTCCGTCTGGAAAGTAGTATCAAGGAGCTGCACGACATGTTTGTAGACATCGCCATGCTGGTGGAGAGCCAGGTACAGCCCTGTTCTCCAGTTTATTTGGTTTTTGTAGTGAAATTCAGTCATTTAACCATTCTGTAAGTCCATCCCTTAACATTCCAGTCACCTGTCAGCCCATTGGGAACATTTCATTCTGTCTTTCTTGATTGTGTCTCTCTGCCTTCGCTATGGTTTGACTCTCAGTCTGCCTCTGCCTGTTTCCTCTTTTCCAGCTCAATGCTTTTCTTGCACGTCTCTTCTGCCACCTCCATCTCATCCCCAAACATTAATTGAACAGCAATGCATTTAGTAAGATAGTTATCAGAAAACTATAGTCGTTACAAACATTTTTCAATACGCAGCCGCTTTATACATAAATCAATTGAGTGTAACTACCTATTTCTTGCTGCTCATGCATTCTGAGGAAAATGCCTCATAGAGGTAAGAGATCCTTGTTGCTGTCTGTTGTGTCCTATTCTCTTGTGCTTTTCCCCATTTGAAAATTGAAGAAAAATTATCTGGATTGTTATCCCATGTTTTCTGGGGCTGGGTTTCTGTGCATCTGACTGTGTTTTGTATATTTTCCAGGGTGACATAGTTGACAACATAGAGCAAAATGTATCACAGTCAGTGGACCACATAATCCAGGCAAAGGAACAGACCAAAAAAGCCATAAGGTACCAGACCAAAGCACGCAAGGTAAAGTCCTTCAGCCATTTTTGCCATGACCTCTTCCCTCTGTTGCTCTTTTTTCTGATACACTGCCTCACTTCTGTTCTCACACATCCTGAAACGCTACCTGCAGGTTCATCTTCATCCATTTCCGCTCACACAGAACCCACGCTCTCTGCGTGCCTCAGCGTCTGTTTTGCCCTCTCTGTTCTGTTACTTACCTCCCTTTGCTGCCTCCTCTCCCGCTGACACCGTTCCCGTCAGGGCGGCATGATTGAGAGGATCGAGAGCAACATGGACCAGTCTGTGGGCTTTGTGGAGCGCGCCGTCGCAGACACTAAGAAAGCCGCCAAGTTTCAGCAGGAGGCTCGCCGCGTGAGTGCCTGGTCAAGCGCCAGGGCGCGGTTTCCCAAAAGCAAACAGCATACCTCTGTTCTGTTTAGAGGAAGACTCACGATAAGAGGCGCACAATATTACGAGCTATGTAAACGAAATTGTAGAATAAGTCAGGTTAAATATTTGACATGTATAGAAGCCTTTTTCATTCTGGAGAGTCTGTACCACTGTGACCCCAAGGTTACGGATGCTTAACATCCTTCTACAAGCAACATTTTTCTCCATATTAAGACTTACATTTAGCTATAAATGGTTCAGTGTTTGGACATTAAACAGCACTGCATGAAACCAGCTGATCTGTTTCAGTCAGAGCCCTCTGAATCCAACAGCAGGTCGTCTGCACAGGACCCCACCAAAAAGAAGCAATTTTCTGGGTCTCAATCGAATAAACAATGTGTAAGACGTGGTCAAATATCAGATAAAAGTGTAGTGTAGACCTAAATAATGATTAAGTTATTGCAGTTCTGCTGTTTTGCAACCATTCTTGAGCCTGAGAATTCAGAGATAAGGTTGGCCTCTACCATAAGGACACAGGGTCAGAGCAATGCTTTGTGAGCTGGAACTGACTGGAGGTAACACCAAAATGCTTTTGGGAAACCCTCTTGGCAACATGAAGACCCTTCTCTCCATCCAGACCGGTGACCATTCCCATCAGTCCTGCTTCTTTTGTTACCAAGCCCTCCATCCTGTGCCGTGTGGATCCCTGTGCTTTAAAAACTGCTGTGACCTTCCACCCCCCCCCCCCCCCCCCCCCCCCCCCCCCCCAAGAACCCGGGTCAAGACCAGCCCACCCCCCTCCCTGTGAAACACACACTCACTTTCTCTCTTAACAGCTTTTTCTCTTTCCTTACTCCTCAACTTTAACTTTGATGCTGTTCTTTAACAGGAGTCTTGCTCTTTGTACTTTAGCTTTACGCAAAGATACTGTTTAACTTGTTGCTGTGTTATTGTCCTGAAATGACAAATGAAGCATGGACCTGAGCAGTTTGTCTGGTTACCAGGCTGCAAAGATAACCCGTCATATGTTCACCTGTATTTCATTAGCAGACCTCTTTCTTAGGGGACAGACTCTCAGATGCCTGGAGAGTCTGCAGCATATGCTGACATTTGGGCCCGACCTGACTGTGTGTCACTGGTTATTCCCTACAGAAAGTGGTGATAATAGTGGTGGCTGTGCTGATCTTGCTGGCCATAATTGCTCTCATAATCGGGTTGTCGGTAGGATTGAATAAAAACTGATGACATATTTAAGTCAGAGAGGAGTAAAGGGTGAGTAGCTTTTTTTAAAGGTATCCTCTGTAGTGTGACTGCATGTGTAGACGGCTGCCTCCGGGTCACAGGAGGGCTTTCTCTCTATCCAGGGAGCTTAGAGTAGGCGTGTTTGATGTTCTCGGGTGTGGTTTTTCCTCCTTGGGCCATTCTGCATCACTGGCCTCTGGTTACCTGGCGAACAAACAAAGCGGTGTTAGTGGGGAGTTAGCGGCACGCAGTTTCAGCTGGTGTTTGGTCTCTGGGCTCGTTTCAAAGCTCACGCACTCATTAACCTCCCTCCTCCTGTCTGTGTCTCCCCCCCTGTAGAAGATGATCATCATTGGTGTCGTCTGTGCTGTGCTCCTCGTCATAATCCTCATCATCATCCTCACCCAGACGTTATAGTTTGACTGCCTCTTGCTTGCATCATCATCCCGCACAGCACCTTCTCCATCTGCCTCTCACACCCATCACTCTGTATGGAGGTCTGCAGCTTTAGGAAGCTTCCAAAACAAAAAACTGGGTTCGATCTGACCTCTTGGAAGAGAAGTGGAGAAGCTTTTTTCTTTTTTTCACGATCGTTTTTGGGGATGTGCTGCTGCGAATGAGGAACCGGGTCAGAGTACCTGCTGCACTGCCGTGGAGGCCGAAAGGGAAATGGGGAAAAATAACTGATCATTGCGTCACTCCAGTGTCACGGAGCATTTCATTGTTCGTCAATCGATGCCAAAGTCCCACCTCTGGTGTTTTATGTCAGTTTGTTGAACCCCGTAGAAGCAACCCAACCTGTCCTGATCCTAGCACATTTCACCACATCAAACTACCACTTGGGATCTTGTTGTTTTGGGGAGTTCCAGCACTTTCACTGTAAGACTATGTGATTTAGCCCAAGATTGTAGAATGAAAATGTAAATAGTAGAATGAATATTTTATCCTGATGGTGTCCCAGCTCTTCGACTTAAGTAGACCGATGTTTGTTCACTCTTAGAGCGCCTTTAAAATGTGAATGTCAATTGCTCATGGGAACACGGTTCATCCACTAACTATTAAATACGGGTGAACAACAAAGCATTTGGGAGGAATGGCTGTACCTGCATATTCACCAGCTGTAGACCCAAAGAACACACTCACTACGATATGTTAGAAATGCCACTTAAAAGGGGGAGTAGATGCAAACGATCTCCTGTCAAAGAAAAACCTCTTAAAGCTGGGTGAATGTCAGATAAAGGAAAGTGGGCGATAACAGGTTTATTGCAGGGCTCTGCAAATTCACAGCAATTCGGGAGATAAACTGATTACTGAGCTGCTCTGGCTGATCGCTATCGTTGCATGATCTGTGGAAATGTGACAGTTTACAGAACCACATGCTGACAACCACAGCTCTACTGCTTCAATAAAGCAGGTCGCACCCACTGGACATGAAAAAAGAGAGGAAGTTATTTAACCCGTGGTGTGTATCATTGTTGTGCATTACGTGCTTGAAAATGAACTGCCTTCCAAAAGTTTTTTTCCTCTTTTTGTTTGTTTTGGAAACACAGCCCTCTGTCCTCAGCACAGACAGTGGGAGCAGAAAATTGAAAGCTTTGTATACTGTTTTAAGTTAAATGTCGAATGTCAGAGAATTAAAGATCCCTTGTTTTGTAAAGACTGTCTGTCCTGCGGTTTCTGAGCTGCACTGTAAATGTGTAACAGAATTTGAGCACTTTTCGATGACTGCACGTCCGTAAGAGGCCGCGTGACGGTTTTACAGCTCAGAAGCTGCTGTCAGCAGATGGCTGACGCCTCATGGTAACCACGAGGTTGCAAAGTACATATTTTCTTTTCAAACTGGTGCAAAAGTGTAAAAGAGGAGGTAAGTTGTGCCACCTTCCCTTTCTCTTTACATATACACGCACACACACCAACGTCTGTAACCCTTTGTTCTCCTTTCCTCATCATTTCCTCTACGTGGTGCCCATAAATGCAAAAAAATGCACAATTTTGTCTGTTAAATGACTGTGCTTGACCCTCCTTTTTTGGATTGAATCTCTAGAAAAAGATGATGATTACGTTGTGCTGTGCCATCATTGGTATTGTTGGCTTCTCCTATCTCTACAGCTTCTTCTCATAAAAGATTATTCACAGGTGAAACATCAACCTACACATTCTCTACTTGCAGATTTCATTGTTTCAGCATTGTTTTGTTACATTTGTTTTTCTGTCTTTGTGTTCTTTACAGGGAAACAGAGGTCTTGAGAGCATTTCATGAGGCTTTGGATTTCTTTTTTAAATGTTTTTTTTTTTCCTAACCGTAATTTGAATCTTATTTTAAAAATCTATTTGGAAAAAAAGGTGCCACACCCTCCCTTTCGGCTTTCCCATCTGTTAAAGATTTCACTTTATCTCCTCTCTGCATAGAGTGTTTGAAATGTGGTATTATTGTGTAGATTTTTCTCAAGTCTGCTTATTGTCAGACAGATGTGACCCTTTAAAAAAGAAAAAAAGAAAAAAAAACTTTCATTTGTCAAACACCATCCAGCGTCCCCTGGTGGTCCATTACATTTAAGAGAGGTGTGTATCAAAATGATATTTCTAAGGAATCAGTTGTGCTTGGAAAAACCCCTGAAGGGTTAATGCTTGCGCCGTATGAATTTAAAAAAAGAGGCCGGGTTTAGGTAGTCAATTCTGACTTGTTAGTTGTCATAACATCAGTAAAAATGTGTTTTTGTTTGTGTGTGTGTGTGATCTGTTTGTACGAGTGTGCTGCTGAAACGTTTGTCTGTTCGCTGTAACAGCGGCTGTCTCTCACTGGCTGTGTTAACTCAGTAAAGCCTGTTATGTAATAAAGCGTTGGTGTGTGTTGTACTGTGCACGCCTCCCTGCTCGTGTTTTCTGCACCGTTCTGCTGACCGTCTGTTTGCACGGGAGAACACCCCGCGTTCGTCCCGACACTCGGGACGCTGACCATCCGGCTCCCGCGTCCAGGCGAGCCTCACGTACGGCGGCGAGCCCCCGGGAGCCGGGCTGACCTCATTTCAGGCCTCGCTGGCTCCGCCCCTCTCTGCTGTTCTGGGGGAGCCGCCCATCGGCGCTGCGTGGGGCGGAGTTTCCACAAGGGTGCGCTCGTTTTACATGCCGTAGATCCAGAAGATCGTGTGGAGAAGAACAAGATTTGTGTAACATAAGAAAAAGGGCAGGAGTGCAGAGAAAACAGGTCCAACAGTGTTGTCATGCACGGCTTACGAAACCACGTGAACAGAGAACCCAGACTGAGAGGATAATCATATGTAGAAATGTTTTGATTATATATTTGATTCCGTGTCTTTTTTTTTAATGTACCGTCTCCCTACGTGGCCATTTTGCCACTATTACAACAGTACAGTTTGAATATCAAATGTAATTTAATATTAAACTTAAAGATGAAAATACATTATTAAAGATCAATACTTGAACATTTGTACGCTAATTTTATACATTTAGTTTTAAATCAAAGTTACAATAAGTCTCATGTGAATTCTAAATTTTTGGCCGTTGCAACAAAAATATTTACAAAAATTAGAATAAAAAGCATTGAATCTACTGAAAAGGTTAGTAGTTATAACCTACAGATAGCAAAGCACATGTGAGGGTTGAAGTATGAATACAACAAAGTTTAATGAAATTATTTTTCTTTGAATGATGGTTTAAAAACAATTTTTTAACCATCTATTGCATTATAAAACGTGTTTCACCCATAACATTTATTTTTCGTACTCTGCAATAAATAAATAAAAATCCATCAAATCTTTATCATTATTATTTTCCCATCCTGTTGGGAAAACGTGAAATAGAAAACGGAGGGATGGGTGTTTATAATGTAATGACGCTGTGAACATTTGCTCCACCACAGGTACAAACATTGAATCCCTCTTTATCACCGCCTGACGCTAAACCGGAGGAGATAAACAAGCACGCCTGTATGTTAATGCAGCCTAATCTGCTTTAAATAGCACCTGCTGTGTCCAATGAGAGCGGCCCTGGGCATTTTTTCAGACGAGTGAAACGGGGTTGGGGGCGGGGCCTAAGCGTTTCCCTTTTTTTCTTTTCTTTTTTTCTTTTTTTTTAGGTTTGTGTATGTGACCAGCTGAAATGGCGGCCCGGAGCGTCTAAGCGTCCTAACTTTATCTCACAATAATCAACACAACTATATTCAGAGCTCTTGTAGTGTAACATGGGGAGTAACTTTACTGGGAGGCTTCAGACGCTCTAGCTTGGACACGTTACTTTGACCATTACGTCTGAACGGAGTTAAAACGTAAAGGTAATCACGAGAAGCTTACAACTACCGTATGCTGGTTAACGTCAGCTAGCTAGCGTCAACGATAGCAGACTTAAGAAAGGGATTGTCAGCTGAGCTAGTTAACGCTAGCTGATAACGCCAGTTAAATATCGGCTGCAACTAGATATGTTGACTCCGAATATAAATTTTATGTTGTAGCTGCTCGCGCTGGCACTGCTATATGCGTAATGACGAACGCTCAACATAAATGTTTGCAATTTTGTGTGTGGTGCTAACCGTAGCTCCCTGGCTAAAGCAACACTGTTGGCTAACGTTAGCAACGCTAGCTAGATTCGTTCTGCCAAGAGAGGTGTGTGCCTTTGCATTACAAATTTGAATAAGGCAAAAATATTGCCGCAGCCACTGGGTTTTTTTGGTCTTAATGCACTACTAGTAACTGTATTTCTTGTCAGCAGACGATGGAGGATTCTCACACACGGTACAGCAAACGCCTGGTGAGTAACTTAACCCAAGTGCTACTTCTCGGACTTGCTTTATGTTTACAATACGACTGAATTGTGTTTTTTCCATCCATTGAGGGTATGTAAAGTTAGTTTTTCAGTGACCACGAATCCGTTTAATTAGTGAACCGTGTTGTGTTTGATTAAACGGCCTGTTTGGTTGGTTCATTGAGTAAAGGTTGTCACTACCGTTGTGTGTTGCCACCCATTATCGGTAATGAACTTGTTTAAAGACCCTGAGTTCAAGAAAAGGTCAAGTTCACCGTCTATCCTGACGGAATTTGTTCTGCGACTGCGCTTGAATTGCTTAAACACTTTCCCCCATAGCTGTAAATGGCTACATTTTCGCCCTACCATTATTAAAACATGCAAATACTTAATTCAATATTGGTGTTAAAAATGATCTATATCTGTATGAATATAACAATGTTTTCTTGCAGGTTTCCCATTGGTTTTTATCGTCCGACACTTTGAAATGTTATTACAAGCATGCATTGAATGGTTCCCTTTTGTAGATAAAAAAAATCCTTTGTTGTTTTATACTTTTTAAAGATCTGAGAATGAACACACTCTTGTTTCCTAAAGTAGTTTTTGTTTCAGTCTAAAGGAAATGTGTTCTTTCCTTGCATTAGCCCCCAGTTAAGAAAATAAGGAGCATTGGTGTTTAGATAATAGTTCATTTGTTGTGGCAAAGAGATGGGGGTGGGGACATCTGATTGCAGGGCTGTTGTGCTTGATCCATCTGTCTAGCCGAGCACTTCTGGGTAAGGGGCAATGGCAAAGGGAGGGGTAAAGGAGGGGGAAATGTGGAGAAGATTAACCCCTGCCATTGTGGTGCTTGATGTGATTTGATGGCAGGTTGACTGTTCAGATTGGGTTGATTTATTGTGAATTTTATCCTTGTCTGTGAAGACAGAAATTATTTTGGCACTCTTCAGAAGCAACAAATATTACCTACAGGAGTCACCAAACGTGTTAGTGACTTGCCCCCTGAAAGAATTTTTGAATACATGAAGTCATTTTGCAAAGGTTTCTTTTATTTTCGTGTTTCTACCATTCAGCTGCTGTTGCTTTTGGTTTTGATGATGGACCTGTAAATATATGTAAAAGTTTCTTACATGTAGATGGGTAGGTTTGTTGTTCACATCTACCTCTAGTTTAATGTTTGATAAAAATAATCCAAGGTTCAAAATAGTTTTTTTAGGGGAAATGATAATTTAGGGCAAACTTAATGTTTACCTTCCTGTATTAGTCTCACATTTTGATTGACGATGGGTTTGCTTCACATCTCTGTTTAATCATGTCTGTTTTTTTGCCTCATGTAAATTGGCTGGAGTAGTTCAGTGAAGTCTTGTATATCTAGCACAAGTAGTTTATCACATAAATTATCTCGGGGGACATAACATGGATGGAAAAGCTTAAAATATCTGGTGTATTGTCCAGTAGTAGCATTAAAAGATGCAGTCCACCAAGCAAAATCTGTGACTTCCCAGTCTTCCTGTCTTGTTCTTCTTGTCACTGCCAATCATTTGATTTGTTGCTCAAGGTTAAAAAGAATTCTTTCTCTTGACCTCAGCGCACAGGTACACGTCGCCGCTACCAGGACGATGGGATCTCAGATGATGAAATTGAAGGGAAACGCATGTTTGACTTGGATGAGAAACTGCAGTGTGGGAGGTTTTCCTCTGACTTGATCAAACACATGGATGGTAAAGGTAAAGGTGTACAAGTACATTTACAAAAGTAAATAAAATATTTGTTGATCAAACATCTTGCATCATATAAGGGAAATTAAGCTTAATAATTTAAGGATAGTTTTTTAAGGTTTTATTTTTTGATCATTGTGTTTCTTTTCCCCTCTCTAGATTTTACATATGAATACATACAGAGGGAAGGGCTCAGGGACCCTATTATTTTTAAGACGGCTGATGGGCTTGGTATTCAGTAAGTAACAGTAAAACTGTTTTCTCACAGGATTTTCTCCTTTTAACACATGTTGCAAACTTATTTAGCGTGAAACTCCCAGTTGTTATGAAAGTATTTACCGAATGTATAAATACCACAAATGTTCTCTCTTACAGAATGCCAGATTCTGATTTCAGTGTGAGTGATGTCAAGTTGTTTGTTGGTAAGTTCCACAAAAGCAGACAAATGTAAGGGATTGTGGTAGTGATTAATTTCTACAAGCTAATAACTGTACTTCCCAAAACACATAGTTTAACATGATATAAGGTTATCTGATTATTTTAACTTGGCAAAAAAAGGTTTTGGACTTGATATGATTGGTATTAGATATGTACAGTATGACGACAATAAATTGAGATTTGATTTTAAATGTTGAACCTTTGCTGATGCCATTATAGGTAGCCGGCGAATTGTAGACGTTATGGACGTGAACACTCAAAAGGGAATTGAGATGTCGATGGCTCAGTGGCGGCGCTACTATGAGACCCCTCCATCAGAGAGAGAAAAACTTTACAATGTAATAAGCCTGGAGTTCAGCCACACCAGGTTGGAAAATCTGGTCAAAAGGCCTGCATCGGTGAGAATTGACAGAATATTGTACTTCAAAACTTAGCCGTCTTTTTATAATGTGGCAAAACATTGTCTAGTCATCATGTTTCTATTGGGGAAGCATTAATTGCAGCAGGTACCAGGATGTTTGGACAGTTTTTCTAAATATAGAAATGGCTTGAAAACAAAAGCCTGAAGATTTTGAGCTGGCAGTTTGAATGTTTGAAAGTCTTCCTTTCTTCATCCAGGTCGACCTCATTGATTGGGTGGACAACATGTGGCCTCGACATCTCAAGGAGAGACAGAGAGACTCCACTAATGCCATCATTGACATGCATTATCCCAAAGTTCAGAAGTAAGTTTAACAACTATTAAATGTGGTGTTCCTCATATCTTATACACTAGTGAACATGTTCATTCAATCCCAGCTCGTGCTCTGAGTTTGAACTTAAATTGTGTTTTTACTTAAACTCACAATGTGTTTTCAATCCCTTGTCTGTTTTCAGGTACTGCCTCATGAGTGTACAGGGCTGCTTTACAGATTTCCACATAGACTTTGGGGGTACTTCTGTGTGGTACCACATTCTGCGAGGAGGAAAGGTAGCTTTACAGTTTTTGTTACACTAGCCTTGAAAGTTTGAGTGCTTGTGGTGACCAATTGTTTTATTTTTTTCCAAAAATACATTTGATTACGATAACAAGCCAGCAGAGCAACTTATCTAACCTGAGGAATAAGTGTGTACTTTGTCTGTTGACTGATCTATAGCCTCACATGTGATTCTTTACCTCACCTTTATGCAGGTATTTTGGCTTATTCCACCTTCTCCCCAAAACCTGGAGATGTATGAAAACTGGGTTCTATCAGGAAAACAGGGAGACATTTTCCTTGGAGACAAATGTCATGACTGTCAGAGAGTAGAGCTCAAGCAGGGCTATACCTTCATAATCCCATCAGGTTTGAGACAGTGCATCCATCACACATGTCACATTATGCTCACTCTCATATACCCAATTTTAACTGTCACAAAGTCACGTGACCACTGCACTGCTTCATCATTCTGTGTTTTCTGTGTTGTAGGGTGGATCCATGCAGTTTACACACCAGAAGACACTTTGGTGTTTGGGGGGAATTTCCTTCATAGCTTTAACATCCCCATGCAGCTCAACATCTATAACATTGAGGACCGCACACGGGTGAGAAACACAGTTTTTTCTCACAGAAAGACAACTAAATAAATAAGTTTGTTCTTTTTTCTGTTGTTGTACAGCAGAGGAGGATACATTTCTCATTTGAAAAAGTGTCAGAGAATTGAGACGAATGAAAAATGTATTTCTAATGGGCAATAAATGTTCATTTAAACAACCCAAATAATGTTGCGTTGTATTAAACTCAGTGTGTGTTTATTTTTTAGTCTCAGAGTTTAATTTGATAAAGTGTATCTATATGTTTGCTCATCTGCCTCGTTGTTGTTCTGCAGGTGCCAGCAAAGTTCCGCTACCCATTTTACTATGAGATGTGCTGGTATGTCCTGGAGAGGTACCTCTTCTGTCTGACCAACATCTCCCACCTCACACCAGAATTCCAGAAATATTCACTCGGTGTTGGTAAGAATTAACACAGGGGCACACTTCTGCCTTCACTTTCCGTCTCCTCTCCACACCCAACCTTACAATATGTTCTTCTTTTGTCAGGACTTACTCCTGCTGACATTGAAATCAGTAATCCCTCTGGGAATGGCACCTCCAATGGAGTTGACAGTGATGTAGAAAATGAGATGAAAGTCAAGGAGGAAGAGGTTAAAGAAGAAGAACCCACAACCCGAGTTCTCACACCTCAGCGTGCTCTAACCTCTTTTGAGCTGGATGGACTGTGGAACCTGTTAGGGAAGTTGGAGGAGCTGCCGGCCCACAAAAAGTGTGTCCCTGCAGGGGTCAGGAATGCTGCAGCTCTGCTGGACGACATGAAGGTGGGTCTGACTGGATTTTTTTTCCAAGATCACAGTGAAACTATCAATTAACAGATGTGAATAATTTTTTTCTCCTTTTCACCTCAATTTTGTGTCCAGACTGTTTTGAGGCAGTGTATGAATGATGACCCCAAGCTAGCCTACACTGGAGAGCCTATTGTCAAATGGCCTAAAAGGGTGAGTCAAGGATGGAAAGGCTTTGAGTTTTAGCTTGTCGGGAGTGAATTGAAACACTCCAGTGCCTACAATATGCTACCAGCAAATTGATTCATTTACAGCTTATCACATAGTCTTGATTTGAATGTTTTTTTTAAAACGTTTTATTGGTACAGCCTTCGTGGTACCAGCCCCCCACTCCTCCTCCACCTGTTATTTATCGTCCACGCTTGGGACCCTCCCTCCACAAGCATCAGAGGTTAGCGAAGCGCTCCTCCATCTCTGCTCTGAGGCGCAGACGGGTGCGGTGCAAGCGCTGCGCCGCCTGCTGCAGGAAGGAGTGTGGAAACTGCCAGTACTGCCATGACATGAGGAAATTTGGAGGACCAGGACGTATGAAGAAGAGCTGCGTCATGAGACAATGCCTGGCGGTAAGATGGCACAAATGTCACCACATCTGTGTTTCAAACAGAAAAACACTGTCAGTACATCAGTTTTTTGTTTATTTTAAATCTTCTTTTACATCTTTTAATTAACTGCTCCAAAGAGCAAAAAGAACTGGAAACCGGAAAGGTTCATCATAAGTGAAACCATTTAATCATACTAAGTGTGTGTTACTAACTTGTAACCTACAATGCATTATTTTTACCAGCTGAGAATAGTAATCAAACTGGCTTTTTCAGTACTCTTTAGTACTCATTACTATGGCATCTACATTTTTAATATTGCTTAACCTGTTTCCAGCCTGCGTTGCCGAACACAGCGCGATGTGCCACATGTGGACAGGGAGAGTTTGATGAATCAAACCCAAGCACCTACTCTCTCATGGAGTGCACCGTCTGTTCACAGATTGTCCATCGCCAGTGTGTGAAGGTTAGTCTTTGTTTCAGCTGATTTCTGTACTTCTAATTTTTTTTAAGTGTGAAGTTTTGATTTTACAACATTCTGCTGAAGAAAAACGTTTTGCTATGTTGTAGCTGTAATGTAAAATTTGAATAGAACATTTACAGTTTCTTTTAGTCTGTAACATAAATGTGTCAAATTTTCACAATGAGATACTGATCCAGTTTGTATTTATAGGTCAGATTTCATAGTTTGTGTTTCAGACTTTAAACTCTTTTCTTTCAGGATCCAGGCGAGGGAAAGATCAATAAGGACCTCCCCAGCTGCTGGGAATGTCCTAAATGTTACCAGGGCAAAGGCTCAGAATCAGAGGTACAAAAGTCACAACTTCTTTGTCCTTATTGGCTATAGCTTCTGTCTTTTTAAGAGGCCTTTTCTCAGCAAAGTTACTTTTATCAGTAACTTGTAGATGCTCTGTGGTATATGCCACACAAATGAACTGACACTTTCTCTTCAGTCCTCCAGTGAAGAGGAAAGTGGAGAGTCAGAGGATTCCACGTCCATGTCGCAGTCCAAACTGTACCAAGAAGGCGCTGGATTAGGTGAAGGAGCAAGGCGAGGACGACGGAGCAGACCCACGGGCCGACCAATGGCTCCACCCCCCTCCCAGAAACTGCTACTCCAGCATCAACAGAGCCGCAAAAGAGCAAGTGCACTGGAACTCACACTGAAGAAGAGGGTGAGCTCCACCTGTTTGAAGTGCTTCAAACCATTCCAGCTTTGTCTGAGCCTTTCAGAAAAAGTAGTGGCATTATTTTATCTGGAATGGATCTAAAGGTTTATTAGTAACCAAGCATGTGTGTCTCGCGACTGAGGAGAGATGACAGAAACAAAGTGCTCGGAAAGTGGTGTTGTATTTATTATTATTTGTAGTAGTAGTACTTGTCTGAAGATGTTTTAAATCCAAGATTTACCTCCATAAAACTTTACATTTGAATTAGTGTCTGTGGTGTATGTGAAACAAAAGTTTCATGTATATGGTCTTCAAAAGGTTTATGCTAATGTTTTGTTTGATTTATTTTTCTTTTACTGTGAAGTTCATCTTGTTTTCCAACCTCTTCCTCTTTTGTAGATAAAACTGGAGAGAAGCAAACTCTTATCAGTAAGTGTTGTTTTTTATTATGTATATAAATTTGTGGCTCTTCCATGTGTTTTGGTTGAAAACATGAATTACATTGGTCTCGTCTGCCCGTTGTCTTCAGAAACAATCGTCTTTGGATCGCTCTCACAGGCTGCTGAGCTCCAGGATGCGCTCACCAGGGAGCCGACTACCTCATGGTCGAGGCCGGAGCTCCACGTGGACGGGTAGCATGCTTTACAACAGTGGTCGGAGTGGAGCGGGGTCCATGGAGCAGGAGCAGCCTCTGGCCCTTGAGCCAAAAGGGGATCCCCGCAGAGGGAGGGGCAGAGGTGTGAGACTGCGAGGAGGCGGTGCAGGACGAGGCATCAGAGGTGGAGGAAGTCGTGCTGAGTTGGAGGAGGAGAGCGAGGACAGCAGCAGCAGCAGTTCAACCAGCAGCAGCAGTAGCGAGGATGAGGAGGAAGAGGAGAGCGAGCTGAACAATGGGAGAGGAGGGGACAAAGAGAATCAGCCACAGTTAAGGCAAGGAGGAAAGACGGTTAAAGAACGAGAGGACGCTGGGAATGAAGGGGCTCACCAAAATGGAACTGAGGAGGATGAGGAGGTGGAAATGGAGGAGGACTGTCCAAAAGGGGACGTAGACGGCGCGTGTATTAAAGTGACACTGCAGCGGCCAACCAGAGCAAAACAGGACCCGTCAGCCATTGTCCCAAAACTAGAGGCTATCGCCCCTCAAACGGCTGCTCCCACAATACACAGTCAGAGCAGGGCCCTCGTCAGACCCCCCATTAGAAATTTTATTGATCATCGCTCAAACAGGCACACACCACCACACACTCGTAGTGGGCACAAAAACTCTCGCACATCCCACCCTGAAAGACTCGAGGCCTCAAAAAGGACCAGACTGAGCAGGCCGGCCAAATTAAGCAATGGTGCTTCCTCCTCTTCATCAGAGCATCCCCACCTTAGAGTACCCCTGTCAGCCCTGCAGGAAGGGGGGGGCGAGGCAGACAGGGAGAGCGCCGGCAGCGGCCCGAGCTGTGAAAGGGAGGTGTGGGTGTCTGTCTTTCGCTACTTGAGCCGAACAGATTTATGCGTCTGCATGGCCGTCTGCAAGAACTGGTACAAATGGTAAGATTGTTTTCATATTATTTATTGATTTTGTTTTTTTAGAGTTATAATTCTTCCTTCCCACAACACACCTGCTTCTGTAGATTTGGGCCGATCTTCTGGCACTCTGTGATGCGTCACTGATTCTGTGGCTGTATCACATCGGACAATGATTAATAGCATTTTATATTCAGGCTGTACATAAACCACAGGGGAATAAACCAAATGAGGTTCGATGTAATCAGAACTGAATGTTTTTTGTACAAATTGTAAAGCAAATGAAATAGTTTTAATCAAATCAACAAAAAATAGCAAGTATTATGTTTGGAGTAAAAAACACCAGCCTCACTATCATTTCTTGCTATTAAATCTTCTGCTTAGACAGTTTGTTGCATATTTCCTGCATCTTAATTCAGTGGTTAGTAAACTATTAGCTGTACATAAAGTGTTTCACATGCCGTGCTAAATAGGTCATTCTGATGTTTTATTCAGGTTGTGGACACTAAAATGCAAACTGTTAATGCTGAAATTTATTCTTTGTGACCATCAACAGCTTTAGATTTTCTAAACTAATAAAATGCTGGTTTTGGTTTTTCCAGCAATGAAGTCATACTCCATCCTCTGAAGCTTTAGAATTTGTAATAAGAATATTTGTTTTGGTAATGTTAGCATGTAGATAACTGGAAGAATGGCCGTGTTAACTGAGTGTATGTGTGTTGATCTGTAGGTGTTTAGACAAGCGGCTTTGGTCTCGGATTGACCTGAGCATCAAACGCACTGTTACTCCTCAGGCCCTGACAGGCATCATAAAGAGACAGCCGGTCACACTCGACCTCTCCTGGACCAATATTTCCAAAAAACAGCTCAACTGGCTTGTTGGTCGCTTGCCAGGTACATGCACGCGCACAAATGATTGTATTTATGAGTTTTATTGAGCTTTGACTGAGTCTGTATGAGAGATTCAGATAAATGTTATCTGTTTTTGCAGGGCTGAAGGATCTGATGCTGGCAGGTTGTTCCTGGTCGTCTGTTTCAGCCCTCTGCTCCTCTGCTTGCCCTCTCCTCCGCTCTCTGGACCTGCGGTATGCGGATGCGGTCAAAGACTCGCAGATCAGGGACCTGGTCACTCCTCCAGGTGAGTGCAGATCAGCCTAAGAGTAGAGTAGTGTCACATCGGCTGTTTTCTTCTTTCGTTTTGTTTTTTTTACCAGTAATTGATCAACTTTGCCCTCTTACTACAATTTCTCTTCTTTACTGCTCCTTCTGTTTCAGGCTGTGACAATCGCAGCCAGCTGCGGAGCATGCAGTGTTTGCGGTTGGCAGGCTTGGACATCAGCGACTCCACTCTGCGTCTGGTGATCCGCCACATGCCCCATCTGACCAAACTGGATCTCTCCCACTGCAACAGCCTCACTGACCACTCCATCAACCTGCTCACTGCAGTGGGCTCATCCACCCGGAACACACTGACGGAACTCAACCTGGGAGGTGAGACATAGTTGAAGGGAATACAGGCAGGATGCACAGCTTCTTTTCAGGAGCCCACAACACCTGTATTTTTTTCAGTGGAGTTTAGGTTTGGGTTCTTTGTTTTTTCCAGGCTGCAGTAAACTGACGGACACATGTTTGAAGTACCTCCGTCGCCTCTCGTGCATCTCACTGCTGGACCTGCGGGGCTGTAAAGGAGTCTCCAGAAAAGCTTGTGAGGCCTTCATCTCTGAACTGTCAGTCAACACACTCTACTGCCTATCGGATGAGAAACTGATCCAGAGGATATCTTAGTCACTAGCCAGCGCGGTCTGTGGCGGGGTGCTATAAGATGGGTGAGGATGGGTGGGGTCTGAAACAGAGGGCTTGCTCACTGGTGTGGGGGGGAAGCGGTTCCAGCTGCTGGACCGAGGTGTTTTTTTTTTTTCTTCTGCATACCTACGAAGAGACTCAGGAGTTTTTTTCTGTTCATTTGACATTTAATGTGTGGGGAAAAACGCATCTTTTTTTTTTCGGTCTACGGGAGTGGAAGAATAATTAATTAGCTATATTAGACTTCACATCCTGTGGATAGCAACTTTTCTCAACTATTCTTTGGACAGATTTAAGTCTTAATTCCTCTCATAAGCTCTCACCATGAGGAAGTCACAAGTAAAGAGAGAGAAAGTGCTCTGATACTATTGTTCAGTTCGGCTGATCCACCATAAGTTCTTATTTGCCATGTGACACATTTGGGTGCATCGGACGGATGTTTTTTGCTTTGTTTTTGTCAGGGAGAAACTGTTAAGTTGTTAGGTGACTTGCGCTTTATGCACAGCTATGTGTGGAGATTTTTTTATTTTTTTAAGACGAAGCTGAAAAGACTTTCTCGTCAGACTACTGGAATGGCCGTGTTTACCAGTTGTGCATAGAGCTTTCAAAGTCATTAAATGAAAGATTAGTTCAGTGGTGTATATGTGAGTGTTTTAAGAAGGTACAAAGACAGCGTGAGTGGGCAATCAACACAGCAACGAGACCTCACCCCACCAAAGGGCAGGTTGCATTAAATGTGGGGGATAAGCCAAGGACAAGGATGCATTTTCAAATGACAGTTTAACTTCAGGTGCTATAATTTCCAAACTCTTATTGCTTTGTTTTTGTACAGAGACAGACATTTACAGCAAAATATTAGAGGTGAAACTGTTCCCAGACCCTATTTGATAAACTTTTTTCTTTCTTTCTTTTTCGATGGATGAAAAATGTGTGGTCTTCTTTCACGTCATTTCAGTGTAGAGATGTGAGGTTTCGATGAGGGGTTTGCTCGTTTCTTTGTTCCTTCAAAGTGTTATGGCTCTGTATCAAAGGTCTCAGACTGCTCTCCTGGCCATATCCCTCAGAGTGAATATAAGTATATAAATATAAATATTTACTTTTGTGTAAATGTGTTTTTCCTCTTTTAGATTATAAAAACGGGAATTCTGTAGCATTGTAAGTATTCTCTGAAGCCTTTTTCACTTCATGTTATTTGTGTTATTTTTCAAGAAAAATAAAAAAAATGAGAAACAACTCGGAGAGAGAGGCGTTCGTTGAATGCATGGCAGGACCACAACAAAGATCCGCTCCCCCTGGCTCCACCCAGCATCCCTCCATAACCTGGAAACAAAGCCACCTCAAAATAAATAAATAAGGCGGTGCAGCTGTGATGATTCGTCGTTGTGGCCAGGCTCCGTGCAGCTCGGGTCCGGAGCAGGCTGGCAGATGTGTCCTGCTGGAAGCGTCTCTGGTCAGCAGCAGCAGCAGCGGCCGGCATCTCCTCCGACGCCCTGAACCCAAATGACCTGGATGTGAAACTGGAATAAAGGCCGTGTCTTGCTGTATTTTGACAGACGAAAACAGCCCTGCGATGGCAACGGGAGGGTTACAGCTGTTCCAGGGGAAGCTAGCTAACTTTTAAGACCCCGTGTTTTATTTATTTTTTAAATTTGCACTTATTTTTTTCTACTCCCTGGGGAGCGTTTTTTGAAAAAAAATAACTATTTCAAATCACCGGACGCCGGGGCTCATTATTGCCCAGTCGAAGTACTTCACTTTCATTCTTTAGAATGGAAACCAGGTGCCAACAGGAGCTGTGAACAATGTTGTTATCCAGTTAGCTAACGTTAGCTCAGCTAGCAGCTAGTCGTCTGCATCAGGTTAGTGGGCTGAGTTAGCCAGGCTAACTCAGCCCACTAATTGAAGTCAACACACACGGCACTCTAATAGTTTCGCTTCCTAATGGTAGCTGCTTCAAAAAGTCCCCTCTAGAGGATTTTCCAGTGATAAAGCTTTCCTGGGTGGCTCGGTTTCCTGCTGTTGTCGAGGCGAAGCGGCTAGCTAAGCAGCTGTTAGGAGCAGCGCACCGCTTCATTGTGCAGCGGGTGCGTCGCTGCAGAAATCCTAGCCTAACTCGTGTGTTAACTGTCAACGACAGCCATGGCTCAAGAGGCGTTTCCTTTGCATTCTCTCGTCTGGAACAACCAGTACCTCGAGCTTGACCGAGAGCTGCAGAGGAAGGAGGTGAGTGTGTGTGGAGGCTGGCTTTGCGGCGGGTGCTTTGCGGATGCGCGTTTTTTTTTTCACACTGCATTGCGCTGATGCTGATGCTGCCGTTGCTGCTGCCTGTGTGTTCGGTTTTCTGCAGCGGGATGTGGAGCGTCTGGATCCCAGAGGGCGCACCCCGCTGGAGCTGGCTGTGTGTCTGGGCCACCTGGAGTCCACCCGGGTGCTGCTCAGGCACACCGCTGACCCAACATACTGCAGCGCTCAGGGCTGGACCAGTGAGTGTCCTGCTGCTGCTGCTGCTGCTCTCAGCTTCATGTCCCCAGGCTGCTGAGGGAATGAGGGGCACCCCCTGTCTTTACATGCGGATGTGCGTGTGTCTCAGTCTTGCAGGAGGCGGTGAGCACCGGGGACCCTGAGCTGGTGCAGCTGGTGCTTCAGTACAGAGACTTCAAGAGAGCCACCGAGAGACTGGCAGGGATCCCAGAGCTGCTGAGCAAACTGAGACGGGTAAAAGTTCCTGATTTTGATGAGTTGTCGATCGATCAGCCGTGCTGAGATAAGGAGCTTTCAGAAGCCAGAATAGGACAGCCGTCACTGGATAGGAGGTTCTTGATTTATTCCACTCTAAAAACAAACCAAAAAAACTCTGTCTCTGCAGGCACAAGACTTTTATGTGGAGATGAAGTGGGAGTTCACCAGCTGGGGTGAGTGTTATTTGTTGTTGTTTTTTTTATTATTATATTGAATTTTGTTTTTAGAGGGGTCTGTTTCAGCACCACGTTGGGTGGACAGCTCCTACAACAGCCCATGTCAACCTGTACACTTTGACACTTGATTTAAAAACCATTCCTGCTGTGTATGAATGAAGTACCACTGTTTCAGGGATCAACTGCAAAATGTTTCTGCCGTTACGTCTCCCTGCTTTAATCCGCAACGGATTCTAATGTTTCTTTCAATATATGAGCCATTTAAAAGTGTTTAATCATCCAGTGTTGTCATCAAGATCACAGACGTTTTGCTTTGTGGGACTTTTTTATTTCAGAAAGGATATGGTATATCCCAGGACACACTTTATAAGTGTCTCAGAACTTAACTTACTCAGAGGACTATGACGTTAATTAAACAGTCACCGATAAGACCGAGCAAAATGTAGAGGCATGAGAGGTTTTACAAATCAAGTGTTTTCCTGAAAACCAGTAAGCTTTGGCTCCCATTGAAAGATGCCCTCTAAGAAAGTTACTTTTCTTGTTTATTTATTTATTTATTTATTCATTTATTTATTTTAATCCTTCTCAGCGTATTTTTCTTTTCTTCCTCCTCCTGAACACGACTCCCACTGCCTGTTTGTGACGCTGCTCCTATTCCTCACATTTCAGTGCCGTTGGTGTCAAAGGTTTGTCCCAGTGACGTTTACCGGGTGTGGAAGAGTGGCTCGTGCCTCCGTGTGGATACCACCCTCCTAGGCTTCGAACACATGACTTGGCTGAAAGGGCGGCGGAGCTACATTTTCAAGGGTGGAGGTTGGTCATACGGTTACGGTCGGTCACAGCCTCTGAGGCTCTAAAGGCCCTGCTCTCCTGCCCGTTTCGACTGACTGCGCCCATCCCCTCAGATGACGGGGCGGTGGTGATGGAGGTGGACCACGAGAAGCAGGTGGTGTACACCGAGCCGCTGGTGTTGTCCCCCCGCGACGCTCCCTCGCTCCTGGCCGCCATGCAGCCATCCCAGGAGAACACGGCCCAGAGAATCACGTCGCCCATCGTCTCAACGCATCTGAACACGCGCAACATTGCCTTTGAACGGTAACTACCAGGCACCGTTTTACCCCCAACCGGCAGCCTAGTGCTGAGGAGCTATTTTACACGTTTCATGGAGGCAGTCGAACATCCTCAGAGGTGATGTTCTGACTGGGAATGCATCAATGTCTGAAGCAGCTTCTTCATTTATATCTGCAGGAACAAGTCTGGGATCTGGGGCTGGCGTTCTGAGAAGAGCGAGGTCGTCAGCGGGTATGAAGCCAAGGTAAGTGACCGCCAAAGCAGCCGGGTCCAGGATTCACTTTTGTAATCTGGATAATTCAGCACCGCCTGAATGATTTGCTTTTGTTATCCAAAAAACTAACTTTTCTTTTTAAGCGGGTCCTTCGTTTTTTCTTTTTCCACTTGCAGACTTTGCTATAAGCTTTTACAAATGGTCTTGAATAATATTTCCCCAGGCTCCCTGAAGGTTTTTCACTTTTTTTCTTTACAGATTGTTAGCCTTCATTCTTTGTTTTCTGTTTCTTTTTCCAAAAGTTGTTCAATGTTTAGTTCTCCAACGGCAATCATTCAAGTAAAAGTCTCTTTTTACCAGTGCAGCAGTGTTTTGTGCACATATGTCAGAGAAGTTGGCAAAAAATGTATTTTTAAATTATGTCTTACGGTACATTATTAACTGTATGGTGTTTGTGTCCAGTAATGACATTCCCCAACCTTTAAGGAAAGATGTACATTCTGTCCATAATTTGAAATAATTGAATATTCAAAGGAATCTACTCGCATTACCTTTTTATATTCAAAATATAAAGATGACAGCATTTGTGTTATGTTTTTGATGTGACACATCACCCACAGACTGAAACTACAGGAAAAAAGGGGATTTTTGTTTATCTCACACACAGTGTGTCTCTCAGGCCGTCCTTCTGATGCCTAACTTTAAGCTGCTGACACTGCAGGTATCTCGCTGCACCGTCGAAAGGGGTCGAAAGCAATTTGGACACAAGCAGAAAAGTAGAGGCCGGCACACTAATGTGCATTTGTCATGAGAAAACGGGTGCTTTTCTAAAGCAGATCAAGGCAGCATGAGAACGCGCTGAAAGGTGTGCGTCCACGAGTGCTTTTTGTGACTGTTTGTCCAGGTCTACAGTGCCACCAATGTGGAGCTGGTGACCCGGTCTCGGACAGAGCATTTGTCTGACCAGGACAAGTCCAGGAGCAAAGGTGAAAACATGCCCACCCTCTGACACGGACAGTCTGTTTGTGAGCTTTGAACTGTTTGTAAGAAAGTGGCAGCAGACTGTTGATCCAGTGTTATGATCAAGAACAGTTTGCCTCTTTTCACTGACCGTCTCCCCCCCTGTTGTTTTAAACTATAGAATAAAACTCTCACAAATGAAAATGGCTGTGCTTTCCTCTCATCAGGATCTAAGACGCCTCTTCAGTCTTTCCTGGGGATAGCTGAGCAGCACACCGCTCAGAACGGGGTGTGTGTCTCTGCGGTGCGTCTCCGTCTCACCGGCTGCTTCTGCTCTGAGGCCACTGACAGCGCTCTCTTTTATTTTTTTTTCTGCCAGAGCAACGTGTCCCAGTGCGCCAGTCCTCACAACCCCACAGCCATTACAGCAGAGGAGTACTTCAACCCCGAGTTCAACCTGAACGGCCGGGACATCGGGCGGCCCGTGGAGCTGACCAGCAAAGTCCAGAGGTGCCATTAGAGTCCCAACATGAAACCACTCCCCTTTCCTTTCCCTACCGGTATCAGCACCGCTTACGCGCCTCCTGCTCTGTCCGTCTCCTCTCTAGGTTTAAAGCGACGCTGTGGTTGAGTGAGAGTCACCCGCTGTCTTTGGCCGAGCAGGTGACGCCCATCATAGACCTCATGGCCATCTCCAACGCCCACTTTGCAAAGCTGCGGGACTTCATCACCCTGCGCCTGCCTCCAGGCTTCCCTGTCAAGATAGGTGGGTGCAGTTACGTCCCAAATAGTCTCTCCATGTTTTGAGTAGACGTAGCTGATGACAGCATATCGTGTTACTTAGTGGAAAAAACAAAACAAACAGCCTCCAGGTCTTCTTGAAGCTCATTCTCGCGTTCCCTCTTAGCTCAGATGATCCCTCCGCAAAGTTATTCTTGAGGTAATTGGCTAACTTCCGACATCTGAACGTGTGTGGTGTTTGTTGAAGCATGCGGCTGTTGGCAGGCTGCCACTCAAGCTGTTCCGTTTCTTCGTCTCTTCCAGAGATTCCTCTGTTCCACGTGCTGAATGCCAGAGTGACGTTCAGCAACCTTTGTGGCTGCGACGAGCCGGTCAGCTCGGTGACCGTTACCAATCCAGAGAGCGCTGGAGAGGCTGGTAACTGTCTCCTATACGACCATAACAAATAGGAAGCCATGCAGTTTTATCTGATAACTGTACTAAAACAGAAGGGTTTCTGACCGCCTTGGTTGACCTGTAGTGTCAGAGAAATCCGTCTTACTACCACACACCTATCTCCTCTCAGGCCAGTCTCCCCCTCCCTTCCACTGTGAGGTGGACCCCTCGGTATTTGAGCCCCCTCCGGACTACACCACCCTGGGTCCGGGCCGAAGCGAGCCAATGAGGGATGAGGATGACAACCTGCTGCAGTTTGCCATCCAGCAGAGTCTGCTGGACGCTGGCACAGAGAGCGACCAGGTGAGAAAGATTAAAGCAGTTTGACAACTGCTGGAGGTATGGAGCCAGTCTTCATCGACGGTTCACTTGGAAATACACAAAAGCAAATAGAAATGTGTTAATACATTAAAGGCAAAATAGGAAAAAAAAAAACTTATATCAATACATATGCAGCTAAGTGGTTTTCTGTCTTATTCATTGATAACATTCAGGGACGAAGTGCACCAGCAGGCTTTCTGTGCATCTAAAGCTGCTTAATGCATGCGTATGGTTTTCAGGTGACCATCTGGGAGGCCCTGACCAACAGCCGCCCGGTGCCACAGTCTCCTCTGTACGAGGAAGACTCTCAGCTCGAGAGGTGAGCTGACCCTCTGACCTCACCTGTCTAATGTAATTAGGAAAGTGAATAGAAATGGATTACCTTTGTGTATGTAATCATTAGACCAGGTTTAACAGGAAGTCAGACTGATGCCAGTGTGTAAGTCTCTCTCCTACAGGGAAATCTTTGGCTTCGGGAGGAATTTAATTAAACTACTATTTAAATAAAGTTCAGTGATTATCTTTTTATCCCACCCTCTCTTGCGGGCGGCAGTTCCCATTCGTCACCTATAAGGGTTCAGGAGGGAAACGTCTTTATTTAATGAAATTTGACTTGATTTCTTTGTTTGTGTGGGGTTTCAGGGCCATCCAAGAGTCCCTGTCCATCTCACTGGCCAGCAGGGAGGGAGAGGACACGGCCGACCAAAGTCAGCCCACCTCCGTGTCCCCGTTGGACCCCGCCTCCAACTCGCCACTCTCTTACAATGCGGTGACTGACCCGCGTCTCTCCGGGCACTTCGGCGTGGCGAGCAGCTTTGATGAGCAGCTGCGTATGGCCATGGAGCTGTCCTGCCGGGAGCAGGAGGAAATGGACAGGTGAGAGAAAGTCAGAAAGTGGCACGGTTCTCTTTGATTCTCCTGTCAAAGCAGTCAGGAGGAAATGACGCCGTGTTTATTTACAGGGTGTATTTGCTCTCGTACAGATTTCAGTCCTGATCTTATCCATGCATCAGAACTGGCTCAGACATTTCTTTCGTCCCGTTCTTTGACAGCGTGTTGACACACACTGCCGCGCTCGCACTTTGCTGCCTCCTCTCATTCAGTCCCAGCTGAGCTGAGCCTCTGCTTCTCCGTTTTTGGTTATGTAAAAGAGCAGAAGGATTCTATGGGTTCTAGGCTAATGGCAAACAAACCTGGGAGAATGTAGGCAAATCTCCTTATCTCATCCAGATTCAGGGAGAGGACCTATTATTCTCAGGTGGATTTGCATTACTACTTGAGACTCTCAGTGTTTGTGCGAGTCTGTGGGTAAATTCCGATGATTGATGGCGCAGTGGTGAGATGAAAGACTTGACTAAACAAATATTTGCAGCATGACACTGCAAGATAACCATAAGCTAAATAATGGGAATTTAATAATGTGAAAATAAATAGATCCATTAAAAATTACTAAAAAGCATATGATGCAGAACTTATTCAATTTTTTTTGTGGATTTTTCTCTGTTTTTGAGCATTTGATTTCTTCAAGACACTTAATTTGCCTGCTTTCTAATATCTTTTTCTTCTTTAATTTTCTTTTCTTCATCTAATTTTTTTGAGGCACTGCTGAGGATCCTCTTTGTCATATCCGGGCGAATGCTAATTTGCAATTATCACCAAAAATATTGAACTGCCCCTGATGGTAATATTGCTGAATCATCAACAGATGAATTCCTTGTGTGGCACTTAGTGCAGTAAAGCCATTACGTGGTCAGATAACCTCCCAGGGTAGTTCAAACTCTTTGTTTCTAATATTGTGGTTCTGACCGGTGAGCCTCACTTTTCTCGTTGGTGCAGGAAGCAGAAGGAGGAAGAGGACGAGCTGGAGAGGATCCTGCAGCTGTCACTCACAGAAAAGTGAAAAAGGAAAGAAACAGACGGCAGCAGGAGGTGTCGGAGCGTTCACTTAGAGGAACAATCACCTTAATTTATTCCGTTTTATTTTCTATATCTTGAGATGTTAAGTTATTCCAGAGGTTTTATTTGTCTTTCTCACATGAGGGCTGCTACCACAGAGTGTAAAGGACCAGATTCTTAGAAATGTGAAAATGGACAGAAACGAAGCAGTAGACACAGTTTTTCTGAGCTACACTAAAACTACAGGAGGAGACAAAAGGGAGTCTTTGCTTTTCTTTTTTTAATGGATATTTTTCACAGTCTTGTTGTCTTTGAGTGAAGATTGATCCTTAAACTTTTAAATGTACAACTTGATCCATTACTGTGAGGACATTTTAAAAAATACATACTTAAAGGTACAACCTATGAAACAATTATACAATTTGAAACTTTTATGTTGGCTTACTCTTATGTGTGAAAAATAAAGAATTAAGATCACCTTTGTTATTTTTTACACTGTTATCCATTCAACCACTATTTTTGTGTGCAGCCCAGATAGATGTGTAGATATAGACTTTTTTTAGACTTTTATTTCTTTTTTTCAGAAAATATGGCTGCGTTTTCATTTTACTCTCTAAAACATTGGGCTGCATGATTAGGTTTGTTAAAAACATACAAGATCAAATGCAAAGACATGTTAAAAGTACAGAAGAGGTACTATATCAAGGGAAATGTGGGAATATTACAACAACCTTCTGACTAATCTAAAACTGTTTGGACTGACTCCTACATAACTGCTTATCGAGCCATGACTGATTTATAGCCTCTGAAATGTTTACCACAAATATTCAGGCTCGCTAGACACTAGTGAACCCTCGGTAAGTTTGCTCCCCCCAGATATTCTCATTTAGTTAAAGTTCACTGACTTACTGTCTGTCTCTGACTCTTAATGGCATATCTCTACAGGCACACAATTTACAGACGTTCCATAGTGACTGTTGTCCATTGTAGACATTCCTCTTAATACTTTGATCCCTGACTTGTCATTAGTTTTCTAAACAATAACCTAGGGGTGTCATTTACATCAATAAACGTGCAGAGCAGTATAATTGATAAGTCATGCACAGCCTAAAGCTGCGCGTAAGCGATCTATTCACCTGTGTTGGGACTTGACCCTTCATGTTGGTCACTGACAGCACGAGTCCAGTGGCCTCCACACAGTTTGAGCCACTGCTTTACACAACATACAGCAGTCTTTTACTCTGATTTGCAGATGTGATTTTGTCCAGAGTAGTGCACACAGAGAGTTCAGCCTCACAGAACAAGCTAAAAGCTGAACATCTCAAGCAGCGGACTCTTTAGACGTTGACCTTCCACTCCACCGTGCCGCTCTGGGATATCCCGGGAGCTTCATTTTCATAGCAGGTGTCCTCGTCCATCTTGGATGCACTGTAGAGGTTTTCCCTCCGTGCTTTTATAGCTTGGCGGAGCTCACTCTCCAGATTAACTAGAAGTAAAAAAACAAAACATGGATGTGTCATTTTCCACATGCACCTACAACGAAACCCCACCAGAACTATTTATCAAAAGCATTCACCGAACTTCAATTCTTTGTCGTCAGACAAATCCTCATCAGGAACCACGTATTCGTTCACTTCAGGCTCCTCTGGAGGAGGAAGAAGCTTTTCCTTGGTCGGGGGCCGCTTTAAAGGTGCCACCTCAGCCTGGGGCACAGTTTTAGTCCTTGGTAATGGGGTAGCAATGCACTTTGGAGGAGGTGACACATCTGAAACGGAAAAAAAAGGCTGGGGTGAACTTTGTGCTTTGACTTGACTCCACAGATTAAAATCTGCTCTGCCCTACCAAAGTGAGTGTCATAGGGCTGAGATCGAATGTAGGGATAAAGACGGTACTCCGTCTTCTCAATGAAGAAATTCACCACATCATTCAAGGAGGAGACGGTTACCTGCAGAGAACAGGGATCAGGTTATTACTTTTATTAATCAGATCATAAAATCGCACAGCTTTGTGAATACTGCTAAGAGTAATATAGTTAACTATATGTTAAGAGGCGGCACGGTGGTGTGGTGGTTAGCACTGTCGCCTCCCAGCAAGAGGGTTCTGGGTTCGAATCCCGGGGGAACCAGGGCCCTTCTGGGTGGAGTTTGCATGTTCTCCCTGTGTCTGCGTGGGTTCTCTCCGGGTTCTCCGGCTTCCTCCCACAGTCCAAAAACCTGCATGTTAGGCTGATTGGAGATTGGGGAAATTGCCCTTAGGAGTGAATGTGAGTGTGAGTGGTTGTTTGTCCTTGTATGTCCTGTGTGTGGCCCTGCGATGGACTGGCGGACTGTCCAGGGTGTACCCTGCCTCTCGCCCGTTGACCACTGGGATAGGCTCCAGTTCCCCCCGCGACCCCATGAGGGAATAAGCGGCATTGATAATGGATGGATGGATGGATATGTTAAGAGTATTAACATATAGTGACATCAATTAGAATAACAGGCAACTGGATCTGTGATTTTGTTTGCAAGTTATTGATTGATTTACATCGGTGGACACTGGTGAAATAGGCTGCCTATTTTTCCCTAAGTTTAGAAAGCAGAACCATATTAGTGTTTTTATTAAAATCAAATATCCACATACCTTTTCCTTTACTGCTAATTGCTTTATTTATTAAAAACCTGGCTCGCAAACTGAAAAGCTGACTTTAGACAACTGCCGTTCCTCTGGGAACATGAATGGGTTCAAATCTAAGTGCCTTGGGTTAAGATTTGTTAGAAAGGGTGGCCTGTTGGACTTACTGGTGTATCCAGCTCAATGACAAATCCGGTTTTTGTAGTGGTCACTCTGAAGTTTTTAATGACAGGGCCACTGAAACAAAGCAAAGGTGATGATAATCACACGGCACTGAAACGTCAATGGTCATTTCATTCTTTAGTTTTTTTCCATGTCTAATCCATCGGACTCAAATACTACAGAACAGGGTCAAGGTTGGCTCGTGGTTGTTCCATTTTTGATGGCTAAATATGATTTTGTTTTTGGTGCATTCACATGCCATGAGCTCTAAATGCCAACACCTGAATTGACAGACCTTTGTTTGTGTTGTCTGAGGGTCAGGGCGTAGTTATTGGGCAGAGTTGATGGACGGAGGATGATGCTTCCGTACTCTGGTTCTGCGGTCAGCATCTGTTCGGCCTCCTGTCGAGTCACATCGTAGAAACACCTGCAGGATTGAGGGAAAAGAGGCGGTTTAGCTTTCGGAGAAGTCTTCCAGGCCTTGGAAAAAACTGAACCTGGTGCATCAGCGTAGCTCACTCTGGCATCTCGGTGGTCACCCCGATGAAGGTGGGTCGAGGGGGGAGGGGCGGGCGTGGCGCTTGGGTTTTCCTTTTTCTCTCCTCAGAAAGAACCTCTTCTAGCGTCATCATCTGGCCCGGCAGCAGCTGCAGCTTGCTGGGGATCTCCATCTGTGGGGACATTACATTACAGCGCCATCGAATTCGGATGGATGGAGCCCCGGTGAGAGATTTGAAAAAGGTGCATCTTTAAAGGTGCACCCAGATTCTCCTCGTCTCTTCATGATGCTCCCATACACATCCATGCCAGAATTATCTTTCATGCCATGATTTCTTCATCTTCTTTCATTACATTTTTTTAAACACCATTTCATTTATTGAGCTAAATCAAGGCCCCATCTGAAGTGAGTGTCTTTAGTTTACTCTCTTGAGATTCAATACAGCTTCAGGTTACGTTTGCAGTGGCAGGCTGTGCTGAATGATCGTGTCATTTCTCCAAGAAAAGCTCAATTTTTTACATTTTTTGTGCACAGTATGAGCCTGTTTTGACTGTTGGTTGTCACTGCGCTGCGTAACAGTTTATTGATTGTAAATTGCTTACATTGACCACAGTGAGGATGTAGCCCCTCCACACTTCTCCCGTGTCAGCATTTTCCATCTGAAAAGTTACACAAACAATATGAAAAGACGTTAAAAAAAACAAACAGAAAAATAAAGAAGGAGCTTTGCAATCAGTTACGGTTAAAATGGTTCATGGTTTAAAATGAATAGTCGTGAGTGGGAGCACTTTGAGTGTAACAGACCTTCAACTGCACCTGCTCTTTGTGCAGAGTCAGGGTAAAAATCGTAGGCGCCCTCTGTTGATACGGAGACTGTAAGTCCAAGGATTTTAGCTGGTCCAGGTCCAGCTTCTCTGTGTACTGCCGAGAAAACGACCATAGACATGAATGATTAACAAGTAATCAGCTGGGCCCCAGCTCCTTCTTACTCCTTCAGCTGTGCCGCTCTACAGTTTGTGCATTATAACCCAAAAATAGAGTTTAGTCAGTTTTTTATACTATTTTCTACCGACTATTGGGGATGTTAATGGTGATATTACCGTCTCCTGTGTGTCATCTTCGTACAGAAACAGCGAAGAGCCTCTCAGCTCTCCGAAGTACTTCTTGAAATCCTAAAGCCAGAAATGTTTTAGAAAACTGCTGATCCTGATAAAAGTGAGCGTTCATTAATTCATCTCTCTGTTGTGAAAGTATCATCTCAAAGCAAATCTGCTACTTCACCAGTGCAAATATTAGAATATTACTTTTCTCAACACTGCACAGTGACTGCTAGTGAAACAAAAATCAGATGCATCACTGTAGTTGATATTATAAATCAATACACATCGCTTGGTGTTAAAAGGCAGCAACAATTCTAATTATAGTTCTCATCTCTGTTTGTTCTCACCTTCTCTTTGGCACTTTTCTTCAGCAGCTGTCCGGAATAATAGAGAGGCAGCGCGGTGATATTCTGCCTTCTCTGCTGAACAGTTCTGGGGTGCGCAGACATTGTTGGTACTCTGGATAATCCACACACTTCTTCTTCCTCTACAGTCTATTTCTGTTTATCCAGCAGCACAGTCATGAGCAGTCTTGCTGAGTCCTGGGAAAGTTTAGGTCCTATGTGTTTCCTTGTGAGCAGAGAGATCTGACTACGGAGTTATATGAGCTGATTATAGGTCTATAAAGCTTGAATGGCAAGATTATCTGACCCCTTTCCTTTAGTCTCAGCACTGATATGTCTGAGAATGAGGAACCTCTGCACTGATTTATGAAGGAGGAAGTAGTTAATATAAAATAAAAACCCACATTCTAAAGGTATTTTTGTACTTTGAACTTAAGACTGTTTTCTGATTAATTATTTGCAAGACTGTAACAGTGTGAGTGGATCAGTAACATGAAGGCAGTTCAGATGTGCTCTCTTTTGTCTTATGACAATTCGATAAATTGTTTTTCATTGTTTCCTGAGTTTTTCTTTAATTCGGTAATGTTTTACTACCATATATTGCAAACGATGTCAGGCAACACTCTTTCATCTAATTTAAAATGAGAAACAAATGACAAAAGACTAAAAGTTTGGTAGTTGGTATTTATTTAGAATTTTTCCATCTTTCTTTTTTGTCTCAGTTTGAAAAGAAATGATTGATATCAGGGCAAAGATGTGATGATCATCAGGTCTTAGAGGGCAGGAAAACCCTTGTCAATCACTCTGTTCCTGATGGGATTCTGACACTGACAGGTTTTTCTGAATCCTTTCTTTTTGTTGTTTCCAATTCTCTGTTGTTTCTATCTCAGTCTCACTGCTGTGTCCACCTTTGCTGGTCTGGGCTCACTGAAAGCTACCCTTGAAAAGTAGTGAAGTTTCTTGCTCTGTTGTTCATAATTCATTAAATGAATTAAAATTATATTAATTCAAGTGCTGAGAAGCACTGATCTTAGATTAGAGCATGTTATCTGGGCTTTGAAGCTTTTGAAGATGTTTGTGATTTTAGCATCTAAATGTCAACTTGTGGAGGTTCGGTAAAATGTTCCTGTATGTAGATACAAACAGGACGAATGCTTTTTTTTAAACCTCTTGGTTCCTGCATGATCTCCCACCTTCTAGTTTAATCCTTCTTTCTTAAGGAGAAACCAGAGAGTTGCACACAAAGGAGAGGAAACGGTCACCGTCCTCCATCATGGGGACCCTAATGATGTTCCTTCTCAGCCACTGAGAAGAAAATGACCACAGAGACAAGCGGTAGCACGTTGAACTGATGGTTCTCTATTAGGCATCTGAGTTAACAGCATGGGCTTACTCTTTGCTACAAATTATGCAGGTAAATCATGACACGAGAAGGATACTATTTCAAATGATTTCAATGCTTTGTCAGAGTTTTTTCTTCTACTGTATTGAGTACTGTTCTGAACGCAGGTGGCAGATAAGAAAAAGGAATGTCAGAGGGGAAGTCATGTGAGGGACACGTGAACATATATCAATGTGGACTAACCAAACAGGCCAGAATTAGGATTAGCTGGCAGCGGGGGTTGAATTTTGGGAGTGGAGAGACAGACCAGGCAAAGGTTCCACCGTCCCCAGGTGCCACAGCTGGAGCACTGCTGGCCCTGATGCTTTCCACGGGAAATGTCTGCTCCTGGAAAGAAAAAAAACCCATCAGTGCTGGTTCAGCTCGACCCCCCCATTAAACTTCCACTTGTTCTAATTAGAAGAATGATAAAAAGACAGCCCGGATATAGGGGCGCATCTCTACCAGTCTCTGCACATTTATCACTGCTAGTTGCAATGCGTGCATGGATGTAGGGCTGGAGGTGTAGGCGGGCCTGTAATGAGGGGCTGAGGGGAAGGGAAGACATGGAGGAGCGGGGAGCCTGCTGGCTGCCAGGATGGAAACCTGGGGAGGAGAGTGGGCTTCCCGCTGCTGAAGCTGTCTCAGTTGGATTAATGTTAACACAAGGCCACCAGCTTTGTGCATCAGCCTGCTGCGTGGACAAGAGAATGACTACACTGTCGGCTCTTTTTATACATACATCCCCATAAACCTTTTTTACATTAATGGAAAACTTTTTCTAGGGTTTTAACACTGAAAACTGTAAGTGGAGGTAATTATTTTAAAACACTACTTTACTCAGGGCACTCGATAAAATAGATAAAGAC